TTATTCCATACTATAATCTACCTCTGTGCCAAATTTCATCCAGGTCCGTTCAGCCGTTCTGGCGTGAAAGAGTAACAAACATCCATTCATCCATACTCACAAACTTTCACATTTATAATATTAGTATGAATTTTCAATAAAAAATAAATAATGTTTTAAAATATAATAATACAATGTATGCCATTTAAATGACGTCATAATAATACAATATGGATAAAAAATATAAAGTGACTGCGCGTCTAAAGTTGTTAGATACATTTGTTATTAGTAAGTTGTAACCATATGTGAAGAGACTTGATAAAAATACATGGAATACTATGCCGTTCTTTTATATTTAGGAAATCATTATCTTATTTATTATCGTTCGATGCGATCTTTATTTAACGTCGTAGAATCAGTTTAATCCTATACATATATACTTTATTCTATATATATATATATATATATATATATATATATATATATATATATATATATATATATATATATATTATTCGATCGTCACCATAGTGTTAGCTTAATTTTATATTTTAATGTTAGATTATATTAAATTTCTATTTTAATAAGTATTTCAATTGGATTTTGTAAAAACTATGCTTGACACTTTAGTTGCTGTTTTGACATAAATCGAGTATTATAAAAACCCATGATGTCGTCAGTGGGGGGTCACTCTTCGTTCTGATTTTGTCAAGCATAGTTGGCTCCTGATTATTGTAAATTGGGTGACTGTGAATAAATCGATAATGAACAGTACCGGCAGTGTTTTATTATAACGGAGTTTATCAATAGTATACTATCGAAACCAAAGGAGTCATTAGTCATCTAGATTTTTATGTTGTAAACTTTGTACTTACAAATACCATAAAACTAGCAATTATATGTACTATATTACGATATAAATGTACACCAATCATGGAAATAAGTAGTATGTATATGAGTCTGTGCTTGAACTTTATTATGTTTACCAACTTAATCAAACTTAATAATATCTATACTAATATTATAAATGTGAAATTCTCCATACTAATATTATAATGTGTACGTTTGTTCGTTTGTCCTTCATTCACGTCGAAACGGAGTGACGGACTGGCGTGATTTTTTGTGTGGAGATAGTAAGAGGGCTAGAAAGTAACATAGGCTAGTTTTTTCCGCGGGAGAATATCTCAATTCCACGGGAAAACATTAAACACGTTATTATTAGACTTACAACGAATAGTATATTCGGCCATACGCCGAATACCGAATATTCGGTGGGCTTTCTGGCCGTGTTTCTGTGTTATCTGTGTGTTTGTTTCTTGTTTGGCGCCAGGAAGTAGTATTTATTCACAGCGTCTTTTCTCTGAATCTGTCATTATCTAGGAGTAAATTACTGCCTGAAATTGCAGAAAAATTTGTTCTTCTGCATCATGCTCTTTCACTTCTAAATTTTAATTATGATAATGCAAGTGCATAGACATTTACTTATTTGATAGTTTTATTTGTGATTTTTTGTTATAAAGAAGGTGATTGTACGTACCTACTACCTATGATTACTTTAATGATTATAAGAAAAATATATTATGAAAAAATAAGTCAATATTTTAATTTTACCAACAGGGAATATGCGTGTTTTTTTTAATATAATAGCTTACATCGTTATGTAATTATAAAAACAACAATATATCCAACTCCAAAAAAAATAGATTAGTATAGTATTTTTTTAATATCATACCGTTACAGATACTTTAAACGCTCGCCATTTCGCGCGCTTGGCGTGACGTCACAGTACGATATACACAGAGATGACGACTCAATTTGTACAAAATCGCTAATCGCTCTGTTATCATAATACTTTAACGCCATATTCGGTCTGACCAACGGCGTTGTGTTTCAACTACTTTGAATTTCCCAAATCCCACCAGATTTTGCACTTTTTAATAATTGTTTTCTAAATCAAAAAGAAATTACATTAAACAATATTATTGCTTAATTATATAATGTTTAATTCAAAAGCTATAAAGATTATAAAAAATATTTCAACTTTTAATCACACGCATATTCCCTATTTATAATAATCTGATTACAGCAAAAAATATAACTGAAGTATTCGATATTCGGTATTCGGCCGAATAGCATAAAAGTAACCGAATATACCGAATACCGAATATTCGGCTACTATTAGCCGAATATTCGTTGCAAGTCTAGTTATTATACAACCCAAAAAAATATTTATGATCACAAATACTTGAAACTTAGTATTACTGTTCTTCAATACAATTACACAAATACGTGTTTTAGCATTTTTCGAAATTCATCCCATACCCACCACCCTTTAAAATAGGGGATGAAAGCTTGTATGATACCTTTTAAGAGTTTTTTTGCAGTTTTAGCGCGAGCGAAACCGCGGGTTCTGCTAGTTATCTATACTAATATTATAAAGAGGTAAAGTTTGTGACATTGGTGGGGGGTAATCTCTGGATTTACTGAACCGACTTAGATGAAATTTGGTAAGAAGATAGTTTGAGACCTTGAGAAGGACATAGGATACTTTTTAATTAATAAAAATAAAATGAATACTTATTTAATATTTATTAAATTTTATATTATTGATAGAAAAAATAAATTCGTTATTTTGTCTAGATTTTTATCCTTACGTTTTAAGTACAATACTCGCCGTATCTATAGTTGCGAACTAGTCCTTGAACATAAGTACGGAACTTTTTGGCAATGATCGATAATTAGAGGACATAACCGTAACAATTGTGTACAAGTTTAAGATTTAATCGTTATTTAAACTAATATAAAATACGTACGTGAGATTGACCAAATGTCCGTTCCAGAATCTTATACTATCTTCTTACCAAATTTCATCTAAATCGGTTCAGTAGATCCAGAGATTACTCCCTTACAACCTTCACCTCTTTATAATATTAGTATAGATTAATTGCTATTGTGCAAATCTAACATTGCGGAAGATGCACCACGTTAAAATAATCCTATTTCATGTGAAACGTTTTCTTATGAAACTTGTCTTACATAGTTTTATAAATTAAAAATGGGACTATTGTTCTTAGATATACTTTAACTATTTTTATTTTATATTAGTATGTAACAACAAAATGTCCCAAGAAATCACTTGTATACATAACGTCATTATTTAATAGAATATAGGTACGTGACATTTGTGCAAGTTTTGATTTTATCTAACACTTTTTACGTGTAGCGAAAAGCTTTGCCTGCGCAATATCGTCATTATAAAATAAAGAATTGAGAAATGGTCCATCCATTTCTTGCAGCAAAAAATTTAAATTTTATTAATAAAATTGATTCATGATAGTTTTAATGATGGAAATAAATCAACAATTATTTATCGATAAATAACCCTATTGTGTAACATAACGCAACGTAAGCTCGGATCGAAGCTTTATATTTAATTCTCGCTGTAGTTTATTCTTTAACCTATGGTCAATACGATCTACTTTTCCGTTTGATTTCCTTATGTAATGCTGTGTCTATGCACATTCAAAATCAACTCGAAGGTTGTCGCTACAAATTGCAGGCTTAAATGCGTAGATTATTTTTTCAAATGTCAAACCTGCACACATATAATTGACATTTGCAATCAAGACAAAGCTTTAAGTTGTTAGCAATAATTTCTTCTCAATTATATATACTTCTTTAGGTATCTTAAAATTTGAAAAATTCATTTGAATCTAAAATGAAAAATAAATTATTCGGACACACACTTCATATTAACACAATATGGAGTCGAAAAATCCAAGCAACAGAGAACAACGCGAAACTACTCAACCGATATACGTATTTTTTCTTGACCTCATTATATCGAGAGATGAATGAAATTGCTATACAAGATTCAACATTTCCAAATGCGTTGAAAAATTGTAAAAAACCTACTTACTTGTTCATAATTAATTTTGTTACAATGTCATATTCACACATACCAAAATAATAATCAAATTTATTTGTTTAAACAATGTAAGGTAGCATGCATGTACACATAAAAATAATCTTTACATAGTATAAAATGAAATCGCTTCCGCTGTCTGTTCGCTTGGATCTTTTATACTACTCAACGGATTTTAATACAGTTTTCAGCACAAGAAAAAGGTTTATATGTATCTACATGCATATTATAGTACAGAAAAGCCGAGAAATACGAAGATTTGTATTTCATACTAACCGTTAAAACGTACCTTACCTACGGTAAATACCGTACCTTTAATAATTCTTTTTACTGCTAAATACTTAGATTTACGCTAATATTTGAGTTTTAAATAAAACAACCTTTCCGCTATTCTTCTAACTGGCTTAATTCAATAATATTGTGGACAATTTTTCCAGTACATTTAAATCTAAGTGACGAAATAGCATTGTAATAATAAAATCTCAAGGCAACCGGCAAAGGACTCGCCATTTTATGAGTTGAGAGCCAGCCTCTCTAAACGTTGAGTAATTAAGATCTTTGTTACTAATTTATTGATGTCAACTATCTTGGCGACTGTTAGTGCGCGATGGTACCGTGTGTAACTGATGATGTCGATAGCGGCAACAAAGGGCGCAGGTTCGTTTCTCGAAACATAAGTATGTGTTAATCTATAGTTAACTGAGTTATAAAAAATGCACAATTGTCGACATGTCTTTTAATCAAAGAAAATTATTTTATTCGTGATTGTAGAAAATTGAACTCATCACCAGGTTCTATTTCTAACTAATGATATACTCGTAGTGTGATGTATATTTACGTTATCTAAGCCTTTCATAATTAACTAGCTACTTACCCTAGCTTCACTCGGGTTCGCCTCTAGAAAAAAAACAAACCTAAAAAGTAGCCTATATGTTATTCAAGACTATAACCTATCTCTGTGCCAAATGTCATCCAGATCCGTTCAGCCGTTCTGGCGTGATTGAGTAACAAACATCCATACTCACAAACTTTCACATTTATCATATTAATACGGATTCGGATGTAAATTAACATACTTTATAATATTTACTATCAGGTATCGGCAAGTTGTCGGGAGAGGGCAAACACCTGGCAGACCCGGAGGTGCTACGGCGGCTGACGTCGTCAGTGTCCTGCGCCCTCGACGAGGCGGCCGCCGCCCTTACAAGAATGCGTAGCGACCAACCGCCCGCGCATCACCGTCACCACCATCAGGACAAACCGTGAGTTTATTTAAATATGTATTAACTTTCCTAAGAGATCACTACTCTATTAATTTTGTATATTATTCTATAATAGATCGAAAGTTTAAAATGGCGGATCCATCAACAACATTGATTTGAATATTTATTATATACATATTAATAGTTACTATTGTAATTATATACATATGGTATATACACTATCTAATAGTTTTGTTTTGCTTCTAATGAAACAACATCCCATTATTACGTAAAATCCGCTCGCAAACTCGTAAACTTTCTCCGAAACGATATTGCTAGTAATAATAAAGGTTATCGTCATAAACTACTCCAAAGTAGTTCAAAATCTTAAATAGTAATGAATAAAAGTAGTCATTGGACTTTCTTAGATGCTTATTACGTTACTGATGTTGACCACAAATGAGAGAGTTACCTTTGCAACTTAAAACCGTACTCGGCAATAGCTTTAGCGAAATTTAATTAAAGTTTGATTCCATAATAATAAAGGCAAATGCGTTTTGTTATTATATATTTCCGGTGTTAGTTGAACACATAGATTACCACAGAAATACAAACAAAGCGTGTAATATGTACCTTTTTATATATAACAGCTATTTGTACTTAGCACTTTAAAACAATACAGTTGATGTTTTTTGAGGTCTGAATTTTAATTTGGAATAAATTACCTTCTTTTGTATGCATAGCACAGTACATTCATAACTACTTTGATTGGTGAAGTTGTTTTATACTTATTTTATCTGAAAGTCTTCGAGCAGTCCTGGGGTCGTGATGATAACAATTAACAGTGGGAAAAAATATAAATATAACTCTGTCTAGACCTTAAACCTGTTTACGATTATAAAAATGTAAATAATAATTAATAAGTGGCTATATAAATACGATATGCCTTTTTTAAGGAAATAAATAATAAAGCTTCATACTATTCTGTACATAAATAAACATTTAAATATTATATATTACCCCATAACGAACAGCCGCCTACTAAAGAGAGGAGGTTGGTGAGTTGACGTCAGTATTAACATAATAATTTATTTGCGTCCAATTCGCATTACCAACCTAAAAAAAATCACAGTTACAAGAATGATACATATAATCTGCTCATAATCAAATATCAACGAACACGATCTGCATAATCTTAATTCGAACTTCCATATTTGTTATACATACAAATGACCATTATTGCTGTAAAGCATTCGAAACGTCGGGAACCAAAAATCAAAATAAATCCGCGAAAAAATCCGAAAAGATTGTTTTTTTTTTTTAAATGTCAAATATTCGCGTAAATCTAAGAAAGTATTGTATATACATAGTTGATCTGGACACTAAAAAAGTATGATGACAATCCGAGATTGAGTCGTGTGCGACCGCCTCTCGAATCGATCACGGTCGAGTCTCTGACTCTCGAGTCGATGCGATCGAGGCGGTGCTGACAGTGATTCGTGAAGCTTTGATCTTATCTGACAGCAGCGTGATAACGAACGCGATTCATAGGAAAAATATTTGTTTCCTATAATGGCGTGTTGTGTTTTAGTACGCAATGCGGGTCTACGGCGACGGGTACGACGCCAACCCTCGCGTTGCCGGTGGGTGCGGACGGGGCCCCGTCGTTGGCCGAGGCGTGCTCGGACGGCGACGTGGGCACCGTGAGGAAGCTGCTCACGGAGGGCCGCTCGGTCCACGAGACCACGGAGGAGGGGGAGTCCCTCCTCTCGCTCGCCTGCTCGGCGGGTTACTACGAGCTCGCGCAGGTGCTGCTCGCGATGCACGCGAGCGTCGAAGACCGTGGTATCAAGGTATGTTGACATATGTGGCTTATTAATATTTATTTTATAAACATATTTATTATGCATAGTTATTAATAACTTACGAAATGAAAGAAATAATTGAATTATAATAATGCGCAATCATTTCGAACGTAGGTACTTATGTATAAGCTCCATTTGTGTAAGCATTTTATCCTATATAGGTAGGTACATACATTATTAATAATATTATTGTGTAAATTTATCGTGAATGTACTCTTGGAATTAAATATTGTTATTTGTTGTTCTTTATTTTTGCATTTAAAAGCTACTTCCAAACGATTAACTTTAGACAAAATTTGTAATTTTTACTTCGAAAAGGAAGATAACATGTGTGATGCTGTGAATGAAATTCCATTGTTCATTTTTTATCGTATAACAATTGAATAGGGATACTTTTTATCAGATTGAATATATGTTAATAGTATTACTCTAATAATATATCTTTGATTGGTGAAGTTGTTTTATACTTATTTTATCTGAAAGTCTTCGAGCAGTCCTGGGGTCGTGATGATAACAATTAACAGTGGGAAAAAATATAAATATAACTCTGTCTAGACCTTAAACCTGTTTACGATTATAAAAATGTAAATATTAATTAATAAGTGGCTATATAAATACGATACGCCATTTTTAAGGAAATAAATAATAAAGCTTCATACTATTCTGTACATAAATAAACATTTAAATATTATATATTACCCCATAACGAACAGCCGCCTACTAAAGAGAGGAGGTTGGTGAGTTGAATGTGTGAATGTGAATGAAATTCCATTGTTCATTTTTTATCGTATAACAATTGAATAGGGATACTTTTTATCAGATTGAATATATGTTAATAGTATTACTCTAATAATATATAAAAGCGAAATGTTGCGTATGTTTGAGGCACCCTCGCGCTACTATAGAGCAAGCCTATAACTTGGAATAATTCATACGCTAATAGCAACTTAAAAAGCGACCCCGTGCATACCTGCTGATTGTGTGCCTTTTATTTATATTATGTAGGAGCAGCGCGACCTTTTTGGGGACTTAACAACTATTAGTAGCCTATGTGTAACTCGACGTCAGTCTGTTTGTACTAAATTTCGTCCAAATTTATACAACTGTTTCAGGGTGAAAAAGTAACAAGCACACACACACAAACATATGCACATAAAAATTTTCACATTTATACTAATATTATAAAGAGGCAGAGTTTGTTTAACCGCGCTAATCTCAGGAACTACTAATCCGATTTGAGAAATTCTTTTTGCATTAGATGGCCCGTTTATTGAGGAAGGCCATAGGCTATTTATCATCATGCTACTACTCAAGGGAGCAGAACAGTAATCATAAATGTCAACAAATCGGGCAAACTTCCATACATTATTACTAATAGCCAATAAGTTTTTTTGTTGTAGTTTTAGCGCGAGCGAGCGGGTTCTGCTAGTTTATAATATTAGTGTATGTAATTTAATCGACGTTTCTTACCCTTGCCATTGTTCCAGGGCGACTGCACACCCCTAATGGAGGCCGCGAGCGCGGGCCACGTGGACATCGTGCGGCTGCTGATCGCGCACGGCGCGGACGTGAACGCCGTGTCGGGGTCCGGCAACACGCCGCTCATGTACGCGTGCGCCGGCGGCCACGAGGAGTGCGTGCGCGCGCTGCTCGAGAACGGCGCCAATGTCGAGGACCACAATGAGAATGGGCATACGCCGCTTATGGAGGTAACGTTTGTTTGTTTGTGTGTTGAATGTATAGGCGATAGGCTGTTTGACTGGTTTTTGAAAATGATCTCAAATTTTTGTAATGTTTGATGAGCTGTGGGCTCATGGGAAAGTGGTCATTTTGATATACTAATAATAGTTTTTGATTTTTTTTTAATTATTAATATGTCTGAAAAGACATTATTGACAAATTAAACAACAGAAGTTGCTATAAATGAACAAATTAAACCTTATGTGTATTTTATAAACCTTAAGAAAAAAAAGACAAGTAATTTTGAAGTTGGTGTAATTTTTAATAAAACAACCTATCGAATGTTTCGGCGAATTTATTTAGATTTTTGATTCCCGATTTTTCGAATGCTTTATAGCAATCATTGTTGTGGGAAAGACTAAGGTTTTAAACGATTCCACGGAAAAATCCGAAAAGATAGTTTTATTTGAAATATCAAATATTTGCAATAAATCTAAGAAAGTATGAAACTGGTGTACTTTAAGTTAACAAGTAATTTCAATCGCAGGCAGCGTCAGCGGGTCACGTGGGCGTAGCGAAGATCCTCCTAGAGCACGGGGCGGGCATCAACACGCACTCGAACGAGTTCAAGGAGTCTGCGCTGACGCTGGCGTGCTACAAGGGGCACCTGGACATGGTGCGCTTCCTGCTGGCGGCGGGCGCCGACCGCGAGCACAAGACTGACGAGATGCACACGGCGCTCATGGAGGCCAGCATGGACGGCCACGTGGAGGTGGCGCGTCTGCTGCTGGACTCGGGCGCGCAGGTTGATGTTTGTTTTGTTTTTATTCATTTTATTGCTTTAATTAATGTATGTTATAAGTTATATGTTAAGGCCCGGAGAATTGAAGGAAGTGGGTGTTTGTTGTTAAAGCTAATCTCAGAAACTTACTGTATGATTTAATCAATAGAGACAGATTATCTGGGTTATTAAATATACCTTTTTAAGAGCTTCAGTAATATTACATTTGTATTTTGTAGTCCAAAGTATTCACTTTCACAGTGATTTTTATAAATTAATAATATCAATATGTCAATAGCTTACTTTTTATTTTATTTTTTTAAATGGTACACAGGGGTGAGACAGCATAGGTTTTTATTTGGGATGGATATAATGATAGAATAACTCATTTATATATCGTCTTATTGCTCAATAAAGCTAAATTATTACTTATACTAACTTAATAATCCAACTGGCCATAATAGTGCTGTTAATCTATGTATACATATAATAAAATTCTGAGTTGAATCTGTACATTAAATATTTTTTTGAAAATCTTATTGAAATAGTCATTATTATTGATACAGAGCCTGAATCTATATTTTGTAGAAATTTTGTCAGCCTGTCTGTCTGTATGTCAGGAAACGAGAAAACCACTGGACAGATTTTGATAACATTTGATATGATGATAGCTAATTATCCGGGTCAACATATAGGATACGTTTGCTGCGGAAAAGTATTTCATCTTTGGGAAATCTATACTAAACGTTAAGTATGTTATAATGTTCTATGTGACACCAAAATAGAATAAACACATATTGTTTATGCATTTTATTAAACATACATATGTATTTTAATAATAGTCTTGATAAGTTTTTGTATCATGTAGAAAGATTTTTTCTGTACCAAAGTTAACACTTTCTGTCATTTAAAAGTACTTCAACGCCTTTAAGGTTGGAAGAGATCGCTAGTAGCGATATGGTAGTCTGCTTTCATCTCCTATACAATCTCTTTTCTTTGTTCTTGTCGTAGTATCCAATGAAGTCTATCTATGTATAAAGGCTAATGCCTTATTTAATTTATTACACGCAACTAATTACGTCGTGCAAATTCTACCCGAATGCGTATTAGTCAATTCTCTAATTTATTTGTTTGAAAATTTTATCACAGATAGTTTATGAAACAATATCCATTGCTTATAGATGTTACTTATGTATGTATATAGTTGTATGTACATAAGTTGGTATGGGATAGATATATTCATAGGTATGATGAGATGTTGTGGATTGTATTATGAGGTGTTTTCCCATGGGAATGAGATAATCTCCCGCGGTAAAAAGTAGCTTATGTCACTCCAGCTCTCCTTCAACTATCTCCACATAAAACATCACGCCAATCCGTCACTCTGTTTCGACATAAAAGAAGTACAAAACAAACACATTTATAATATTAGTATATATTACGAAACTATTATGTAATAAGAAAATTAGTTAAATTAATCTTGTTATTCCCCAGGTGAACATGCCAACGGACAGCTTCGAGTCCCCGCTGACGCTGGCGGCGTGCGGCGGCCACGTGGAGCTCGCCATGCTGCTGCTGGAGCGCGGCGCCAACATCGAGGAGGTCAACGACGAGGGGTACACGCCCCTCATGGAGGCCGCCAGAGAAGGTCAGCCTTTTTTCTTTTTATAACAACCCCCTTCCAGATCGTGGAAAACTAGGGAAGGTGAGCCTTTTAGTTTCAACTTTTTCTGAGAATAACCCATTTCGCATCATGGAGACTGCTAGAAAAGGTGAGCCTTTTGATATCTTTTTTTCTCTATGAATGACGTCCAGATAGCAGCGTCTGTTTTTAGTGAGGGCGCTACCAGACCCTCTGCATCATGTCTGATATGGGAGTATGAGAGTAATCAGTCAGAAAAGATGGTAGTTATAACATACTATATTGCCGTGATAAATAAAATAATATCAGATATGTATATTTATACAATATAATATCAATCTAATAATGTTTGTCTTTATTAGGTCACGAGGAAATGGTAGCGCTACTACTAGGGCAGGGAGCCTCGATCAATGCGCAGACAGATGAGACGCAAGAGACGGCATTGACGCTAGCCTGCTGCGGCGGATTTCTGGAAGTGGCCGACTTTCTTATAAAAGCGGGTGCAGATGCGGAGTTGGGGGCCTCCACGCCCCTCATGGAGGCCTCGCAAGAGGGACACTTGGAACTTGTTAGGTGAGATTACATTCTAGATATGACTGTCTGAGTTGAGTTGATCTATCAATGATGTACATCATACAACCTTGACCAACTATTAAAATAATGATGAAATATCAATATTTTTTGCATAAGAAATTGTAAATAATTTAAAGTATTGCCATAGTTCTGTTAAAAAAAGGATCTACTGATACATCACTCATAACCAGTGATCGGAATGGGCTGAATGTATTTACCTAAACTTTGCGACGGTACATGACAGAGTTGTTATAACCACGAAATTTCCGGGACTTTCTAGTTCGAAGTCCCGGAAATTTATAGTTCGTAGTTACCGATGTAGAGGATCCCGGCGGAATGTTTAAAAAATAACAATATACAAAATAAATAAATTCAGCCTATTCCGATCACTACTCATAACTTTTCGGCTACAAAAGTAGGCTAGTTGAACATCCGTCGATCGAAAGTTGCTATTTACGTACACACTGCTAACGGTTTTAGTCGCGATATTGATGTTTCCACATCCATGTATAGCATACTTCAAAATGGTACGTACAGTTATAATATGGTTAATGTATTGCATTATCAAATTCATAGCATGGGGACTCATTATAAAGTAATAAAAGATTGATTTCAATAGATGGCATAAATATGTATATTTTTTAATTAAGTTACGTTTGTGTTAAATTAAAGAAAAATATATAGATTATAATGTATTTTCCATTTTTAAAAGAATTAAGTAAATGAAACTTTTTTTTTCAATTTTACTGGTGTTTGAATTGGTTATGGTGTAATGTGTGTGCACCAGCTATCGTCCAAGCAAAACAAAGCCAGAGGAAGAGTCTGAATTAGGATGGTCCAATTTTGATTGTATGGGATGGGTACTTTGTATGCTGCTTCGTTAGTTGGCAAGTATGTACAGCTGCAGATCGGGAGATTCTAGGTTCAAGTCCTAGATCGGGCAAAAATTGTTACATGATATTTTGTTACAAAATACTGTGTAGCTGCCATCATTGCGTAGTACATAGCAACAACAGTTGGGTAGTTGGGCGATGTTTACACTGTCTGTTAATGCTGCCACTCATGGGCCTTATCTTTTACTGGTTGTGTCAAGTTGTCGTCCCATCGAAACGTGAACGGATCGAAATAAGGAACTTGTGACTGCGCACACACTTGTGCACTATAATGTGCCATGCAAAGTTGCTTAGTCTCAATGAGATTGGCCATGAGGACATTATAATTACTAATAATAAAAACTGACGACACGTTCGGCTCAGTTTATAGTGACTTACTGCTGTGCCAGCGTTCGCGGGCTAGTCTCGCTGCGGGCATCCATTTGTGTGATGAGCACTTATATTTTTATACTCCAGTCATGGGTGTTTATATTTGTAATATGTAAGTATCTAAAGTTATATACGTGTAGTGTATCAACTATGTATCTGGTATCCATAACACTTGCCTCGTAGCTTAACATGGAACTAGGTGGTGCTGTGTGTTAATGTCCCAACATTTATTTGTTTATGATGACTATTGTTGATGTATGTAATGATGCCAGGTACCTGCTGGGCGCGGGCGCGGACGTGCACGCGCAGACGCAGACGGGCGACACGGCGCTGACGTACGCGTGCGAGAACGGGCACACGGACGTGGCGGACGTGCTGCTGCGCGCCGGCGCCGTGCTCGAGCACGAGAGCGAGGGCGGCCGCACGCCGCTCATGAAGGCGTGTCGCGCCGGACATCTGTGCACCGTGCAGTTCCTCGTGGGCAAGGTGGGTTGTTGCTGTTTGATTGATTGAATACAAACATGCAGATCACATGAGTGATTTATGTATGTTAACTTATTTTATTTACCTTAAAAGTACATTACATACACATCTTTTAGGAATTTCATCGTTAAAATAATATAAATCCCATTCTGTTTTTAGATGTTTTATGTGTCTATTATAAATATTCATGTTAAAATTATTTTTATTGGTTTAAAGCATAAGTTAATAAAAAAAGTAAAATTCCCACAATTAACAACAATGTAGATTTTAACTAGATTCTAATAAATAAATTATTTTAAGGCATTTATATAATAATAATAATTTTATTGAAATTTTTTTTACAAAGTTATATAATATTTACAAAATAAAATAAATTCACCGAGGACACAATACAATTTGGATCCTATCTAAACTAGGTTAACAACCTGTATTTCAGGTTATAACCTGAACAAGCTTTGTCACGTTGAGAAATGCATGGTAAAACTATAGTTTTAGAACAGAGCAAATTTTGAAACTTACATATAAGGGCAGACTATATATAAAATGACAAGTATGAAAACTTATGTAACTAACTAGACTTACATCTATACATATAAAAATTATAATTAACGCTATTTTAATATTTCTAACATATTCTGTGTCTGTCTAGTTCAAAGTTTGAAGAAATTCCGAAATTATTATTTTACACATTTTATAACTTATCTATATACATCAATGATAAATATGTTAATAAGTGTTAACTGACCAAAAGGGCGCCGACGTGAACCGCATGACGGCGAACGGCGACCACACGCCGCTGTCGCTGGCGTGCGCGGGCGGCCACGCCGACGTGGTCAAGTTCCTGCTGGCGTGCGACGCCGACCCCTTCCGCAAGCTGAAGGACAACTCCAGCACGCTCATAGAGGCGGCCAAGGGCGGGCACACCGCCGTCGTGCAGCTGCTGCTGGATTATCCACACTCCGTCATGTTGCCTAGAGGTATGGAGATTTATGTTTTTTGAAGTTACATTTCTTTTAGCACGTTTGGAAACAAATATGAGAGCAAACATTTTACAATGCGCGTGCACACCGGCAGCCAAAAAGCGACATGATGAAGTTGCTGCATTCCTTTTACAAACAGAGAATTGTGATATATGGTATGAAATCTTGAGCTATTTTTGTTCTGTTACGCCAAAGAATTATAACTTCTTACGTGGGTACATAAGTACATACATACTTTTTTTTTAATTTGATAAAACAGCCCGCACTTTTATTGGCTTAAAGTGCAGTAGGAGAAATGAGTTGATTTTTGAATATAGTATAGTAGTGCTATCTATCTTGCTCAGGGATCATTTAACAGAAAGTATTTTATATATATTAAAAATGTCCTCCTAAGCGATTTCGGCTACGGCGGCCAATCTCACTGAGACTAGCCAATAGCGTAGGAGATATTATTATAGTGCACAAAAGTATACGAGCAGACACGAGTGCACTCTATTCCTGTCACTGTCACATTCCGGTGGAACGAAAATTCGACGAAATCAGGCTCAGGGCCGACGGTTTTACGTGCTTTTCGAGATACGGAGGGTGAAACACCGCCAACTCCAAATTTGGGCTGTTACTGAGAATATCTTGACAGAGAAACTCAGTAATTGAACTTGGTTCGAGTCCCGGGTAGGAACCGGAACTCGAACCCAGGACCTCAGGATCTGTATCCCTACATGCTAGACACTAGACCACCTAGGCAGTTCTATATATATTGGTCTTATAACAACATTTTTGCAAATACATATAAATACATATATAGAGGTATATACATATTTTATATATTTAAAAATAAAACGAACGATGACTTACAGGTAACACAGGCACGGAAGAGAACGGTGGTCTCAGCTCAGCGCAGGCGGCCGCGCTCGGGCTCAGCCACGCGCCCGCCCCCGGCGCGCCGGCGCAGCGCGCGCTGCTGCCCGCGCACATGGCCGGCGCGCACGCGCTGCCGCACCAGCACGTGCACGCGCACGCGCAGCACCCGCAGCACCAGCATGTGCACGTGCACGCGCACGCCCAGCACCCGCCCCCGCCGCAGCAGCAACCGCAACCGCAACAACAGCAGCAGCTACCCCCCGCGCAGGAGATGCCGCCCAACTTTGCGAAGGTTTATTTGGATGGTAAGTTTGCTTTGTTTCAGTTGAGCAAGTATTTCCTTACTACTGACACAGATTATTTTTTTACAATTATAAAAAAAGTTCTCGTTATAAAAGTTGCCTATATTATTCACTAACACAAAAAAAATACAAATCTGACTGTGAAAAAGTCTCTTTGTTCCTTTTCACGACTTAACGCTTAAAACGCTGTGTTGAATGAAATTCGGCAAGGACATAGATTACATCCTAAGTGCAAAAACTATAGTAGGGGAGCCCAAGAGGGGATTTTCTGTAGTTACTCGAGCGCGGCAGATTAACATAAAAGAGGTTACCTTGCACTCTATTGAGTACTTTCACCATAATATAAGTCTTCTATATAAAGGGGCGCGTCTAGGGAAGCCGATTAAAATATTTAAAAAATGTTTTGATAAGGTCTCGACTGTAACCGACGACGGTAATCGACTATAAAGTTTATGATGATTTTTGCCTCTTCGGCTTGTGCAAATCGGCAGATTATTGAATTGGACACTTTTCAGGATGTGACTAGCCTACCACACCTTAATCTGACGGTTTCAAGTATTTCTACCTTATCAAAACATTTTTTAAATATTTTAATCGGCTTCCCTAGACGCGCCCCTTTTGCAATAAAATATAACACTTGTGTTATACCACCAGGTCGCAAGAAGCAAGGCAACGGCGCGGCGCCGGGCCCCGCGGCGCCGGCGAGCGCGCCCGCGGCGGCCAAGCAGCACAAGTGCGGCCGCAAGCCGCGCCCCGCCGCGCCCCACTCCGACCACCACCTGCCGCCGCCGCCCGACATACTCGACGACCATGTCAGTATATTATACTACTATACTAATATATAAAGAGGTAACATTTGTGAGCTTGTGGCGTTGTAGGGTGTAATCTCTGGATCCACTGAACCGATTCAGATGAGATTTGGTCATTAGATAGTTTGAGACCCTGGGAAGGACATAGGATAGTTTTATCTCGGAAATCATCCCTTAAGGGGATGAAAATGGGAATGAAAGTTTGTATGGGGAATCAACCTAGGGACGTATCCCCGAGCGAAGCAAGGATGAGTCGCTAGTACTACTATATGGAGATATTATAGAGTACAAAATCGTACGCGCAGACACAATTGCAGAACGAAAATTCGACGCGACCGGTGAGAAATCAGACGCAGGGCCGACCGTTTTATGTGCTTTCCGAAACACGGAGGGTGAAACACTGCCAACATTCAAATTTGGGCTGTTACTGAGAATATCTTGACAGAAAAACTAATAGGTCTCATTAATGTGTATGTATGTGGGTTTGTTACTTCGTGCTCAAACAGCTGGACGGATTTGGATGTTTAGTATGTAGTATTTACATAGATAGACTATGACCTGAAGTGCACATACATGCACGTAGGGATGCACCCGAGCGAGGGTAAGTCGCTACTGTATCATCTTTGCTGGTTATTGTTACGTGTTCAATGTAGTCTGTTGCATTTCAAGTTTTCCTAGTTTAAAATTATCTATTGAATTATAGGTTATTTGTTTGTTGTTATTCGAACGTTATCAAATGCATTGCGACAGGCTAAACTGTAGATAAATCGCGATTTTGAATCAGTGGAGCATTCTTAGTTCGAGAAAAAGTATGTTAATACAAAAGTGTTAAATATCTATGAGGATATTTTGAGTAATTAAGAAATATAATACCACAAGGCAATACACATCGAACCCAAGAGCATCAAAAGAACGCAGTAGGCTAGCTTGAATACATACGCTTGCTTTATCTAATTTTACTACTGCACAGTCGCTCGCACGCATGCCTTATGGGTTCGCTCTTCATACGCATTACATAGCCGAGTGTACGCAACCTCCCCTTAGTACGTAGACCGAGATCATTCATAAGTACTGAGGCCCCGATGCTATTATATACTAATAATAATATCATGCTTTCAAATATATAACTGATTGATTATTTATCGTTTGTGGCGGAGGATGGTCGATTTGTACCCCTCTTATAATTAAACTTTATATTGGACTTTACATTGTTTTATGTCTCAAGCAAAAAAAGTTTTATCAAAAGATAGAATACATTTATAATTATATAAATTAATTTTGATTTTTTTTCTTTTTGGTCCAATCACAAACTATTCACGAATTGTATTTTACATCGCTTAAGTTGATTATCGCTGCAATTTTCCCAGTTTTAAAATAACTATAATTTGAACTAAAGATAATATATTTTTTTTATTTTCAAGTATAAATTTTATATTTACTCGTGATACAAACCGACCATCGCTCATGTCTGTTCTTATTGGCTTAATTTTTTAAATACAATCATTTTGTGCTTGCTTTCCACGGTGTAGATGTGCAACCACAACATGGTGCATAAGCATAAGCTATCCCTCCCGCCCGGCTTTACGTGGAAGGATGTTAACAAGAAATTTAAAAATAAAAACAAAGTTGAAAAAAAATCCAATGTGAGTGGACGCATTTATAAAATATCATGTTTAGTGGTAGTGTTGTGTCGGAATTTTTTATTCTTCCTATACTGTTGTTCATGTTTCACATAGATTTGTTTTCATGTAACGCTGGATACGTTGATTTATAGATTGTAGTGGTTGTGTAGAGCATGCGACTTCATAATATAATATGCCTTAGGTACCCCTGAACCGTTGTGTATTCGTTACTATTGGCTTCCGTGGGTGTCTGAATTCATTTATAACTTATATATATTTTTTATGTATTCTTATATGTGTATGTAGATCGTAGCTTTGTGTTGCTATAAAGGGAATATATTATTTTAATAATAAAATATTTTGTTTTGCTTACAGAGAGCTGAGGCCCTCGCCGGTCAACCTCGAAATGAATCACTGCCAGAGACTGAGAGGAATATGCTCGATCTAGCTGACTCCTCCGGTAAGATAATTTAATATATGAATACTATACACATTCGCACACTTTCAGATTTAAGTCGCTACTAGACAATAAGTCTATTATCGATTTACCATCGCGTCGCTCGGATGTGTCCCTAGGTACGCGTATTTTATTCACAATTTCATGGGATTTTTTTTTGCGCGGATCCCTGATTCTTTTTCTAAAATAAAAGTAGCCTAAGTTACTTCTTATAACATCTGCCAGTGAAAGGGTCGTCAAAATCAGTCCAGCCGTTTCGGAGATTAACCGGAACAGACTTAAAAATTGAGTCCTTATAAGTACATATAATTTCATATGCATTTAGTAAAACGCTGTTATTTTGGCATTACAAACAGACACTTCAATTTTATTTATCTGTATAGATGATATAAGTTTAAATTTTAAAACTGCAGTAAATACATATTTGATATTAACATTCGTGTATCAGTATTCAGTATATATATAATAAATTAAGAAACTGGACTAAAGAGCAGCTATGTCTAAGGTCCGCCCACTCTCGCCACGTCTGCGCTTCACGCGCTCGACCTGCAGTTCTGCGCGACAGGCAAGTCACGGCCTTTTACAAGTGGACTGATCGTCATTTATTTTTTTGGCATAACTGCTATTGCCTAAATTATATTATTTGGTTTTAAATTTGATTTATATTTAAGAAGTTGTTAATTTTTCTTTGAAATAAAAATCGATCAAATTTAAAAGTATAGTAAATATATATATATATATATATATATATATTAGCCTAAAATGCAGTTTTACAGAAAAGTTAGTGATGAATCGATCTAAATGTGCTACACATTCCGCCGATGACTTACATGCTAATATACCTGTAATATATTATATATTAATATCTAATATCCTTTGAATTGATATATTTCTTATTAATGTTATAACTACCAAAGCTGTTACATGGTTTACACTTTACATACTAATATTCATTAATAATAAAATTTTACCAGCTTCATATAATAATAGCTTGATTTTAATTTCATTTGTACACAAATTATGCCAATTCTATTTATAGTGAGTTGTAAAATTTTCTTTGCACATTACAAATTACAAGATAAAAAATTTAGTTTTATACCGAAATATTAGCTTTGCCTAATGCAATATCGGCCTAAATTAAGATATTGTTAAATTGACATGACAATAAAATTAAATTATACAATATACATGCTTCAATATGCAATTGTTTTAACAAAATTTGAACTAATATTTGTATCAATACATAAAATGGCATCTTCTGTTTAACTTTGCACATCGTTTTTATATTATAGTTAATTAAATTAAAATGAATATTGTGTTGTGTAGGAGTAACCACCATCCACCCGCCCGCCACGCCGCCCTACCCGCCGCCCCAACACTTGTTCCCCGTGCAACAGCTCGCTACCAACTTGAATCAGGTAACTTATATAGATACCATATATATGTATGTGTATGTAAAGTGAGATAAATGTGACTAGATCCTAAATCAATCAATATGTTATATATATGAAAAAGTTTGTGTTTGTGCTACTGTTTCTATCGATTTTTCTATCTCTCTTTCAAATAATAATGAAATTTTTATATAGGTATTAGTTATTAATGTATAATAGTTGAAAAGAAAATATAAATAATAATAATAAAACTTTATTATTTTGTATTTTTTAAGCATTAGTTCTCTAACCCAGGAAAGAAAGCTAAAATAAAATCCGTTAGCTTATTTTATTTATTAACATTTGCTTACTTATCACAGCATTAATATTCTATTTTAATATTAGGGTCCTGTTTTAAAACATTATATATTTTAAATCAGTATAATATTGTCTATATTATTGCTAAGTCTGACATTGATACTTATAAAAGTAAAATATAATATTATATGAAGTCAAACACTGATTAATATTTTCATATCCAGCGCGTGGAGTCTAAAATCGATTATATAATGGCTTGGTTCGCCTTTCTCGAACTACCGTCGCCTTTCACTAAACAGGAATCTGAGTGGTTGGAAATAACCACAGCTAAAGTTAGTTATGTTTATGTATCTGTAGACTTAGGTACACATTATTGCGTGTAATATTCGTATACTTTATCTGTAGACAATTAATCACGGTCGTAATAAATCGTAGGTAGTTTGTCATGATACATATTCAAACTAGTCATCATTGTAGAGATGTTCTTTCTTCATGTTATATCCTATAAATTACGTATGACAGATTGTAAGCATATAAACTTTACTAGCGACAGCTGCAAGAGCTACAGCAGCAACAATGGCCGCAAATGGCTCAGCAACAAACGCAACAACAGCAGCAGCAAAAGAAACAACAACAACAACAGCAGCAGCAACAACAGCAGCAGCAGCAACAACAGCAGCATCAGCAACAACAATATATGCAAGATATGCAACAGAGACCCGAAGCTTACCTGCCCCAGGTAAATTGTTTATATCCATCCAACAAGGAAACAAACTAACGATAAATGGACTATTTTTTTTAATACATATAACCGATTTACATTCTAAATATCTTTATCTTCAATATATGTATTAGAAATACAAGCAACTCACCCTCGCTTCGCTCGGGTTCGTCCCTAGTTACATTTGAAGTTTTTTGAGCGGAACCCTAATTGTTTTACTGGAATAAAAGTAGCCTAAGTTACTCCTTATAACATCAACTACCTGCCAGTGAAAGTCCCGTCAAAATCGGCCCAGCCGTTTCGGAGATTAGCTGGAACAAACAGACAGACACTAAAAATTTCATAATAGTGTTTTTCTTATAAATACTGTATATAATTCCATATGCATTTAGTAAAAAGCTGTTATTTTTAACCGACTTCCAAAAAGGAGGAGGTTCTCAATTCATCGGAATCTTTTTTTATGTATGTTCACCGATTACTCGAAGACGCCTAAACCGATTTGGAATTTTTTTTCTGTCAAAAAGTATACTTCCCAGGTGGTCCCATATAAATTTTATCGAAATCGGTCAAGCGATTTTTTTTTAATTTAAAAAAAAAGTTTTTATGACATTACAAACAGACACTTCAATTTTATTTATCTGTATAGATAACTTTTATATATGTGTATATGTGTACAGACAGAGGAGGGCGGGTCTGTGGAGGCGCGCGAGCTGGGCGCAGTGCTGGCGTACCTGCAGCGCGAAGTGCCGTCACTGGTCGCGCTGCCGCCCAACGAATTGCGCTCGCTCGTCTTGCAGGTCATATTATATGTTGCATATATAGACATTTATTTGTTATGTAAATTGTTATCGAAGCCGAAACAAAAGTTGAGGTCATCTGTCTCCTTAATAGCCGGAGTGATTTTTTGTTGGGCCCTTTTTTTAGGGCCTATCAACACCACGTTTTAAACCGTATATTCTAAAATTTTAAAAGTCACTGACGACGCCCGTTGCTGATAAATTTCAAAAATGCAAATAAGTTGAGTTTGTATTGATAGATAGCGCGAGTTAACAGCGTGTTAAATGTCGCCTTAATATGACTTGCATTAACAAAAACAATGAAATAATGCAATTCGCTCTGCCATTCCAAATATAGATTTATTTACGATAGTTTTGAGGTTGCAAGTGCTATCGCTATATTAAGTGGCCATCAAGTATTCTGAAATATAAAGATGGAAGCGTTGTAATCAGTAGCTAGTGTAAAACAATTATATTTCATGAAACTTTTCTAAGCGTATATTTAGAATTAACGACTCACCCTCGCTTCGCTCGAGTTTATCCCTGGCTTGCTTCCCGATACAAACTTTCATCCCCATTTTCACCCCCTTAAGGGATGATTTCCGGGATAAAAAGTATACTACGTCCGTTTCAGGGTCTCATACTTATTTTCTTACTAAATTTCATCTAAATCGGTTCAGTAGATCCGGAGATTACCCCCTACAACGTCACAAACTCATAAACTCACAAATTCACAAAACCACAAACTTTACTTACATTTCAGAAACATTTCAGTAACATTCGATTTTTTTTGAACAGGTGATGCAACAGAAATCACACGAGATCCTCTCAGGGAAGTGCGAGGATGGCGGTGAGGGCGCGGGAGAGGGTGAAGGTGAGGGCGACGACGTAGAGGGCGAGGAGGGCGACGAGCGGCACGCGCGGCTGCTGCTCGCCGCCGCCGAGGAGGCGCTGTCCGCCGACTGGCCCCGCGACCACGACCTGCCCGTTAGTGGAGCTTTGTATAAAATATCTTTTGTCCTGGATAAATCATCTATAACTGGAACAAGCCATTAGCTGAACCAAAAGTCAAATATTTTGACTAATATATTTATTCCATGAACGAATTAACCACTGGACCAGACATATAAGCGGACGTACCTTTAACGGTCATGTCAGTAACCAGGGAATTTTAGCCTAGGTCGTTTGTTTCTTGTGTCAGTCTCAAGCACTTACTTGTCAACAAAACATCTCTCAAAAATGACTAAATGTTCTGTTAAATGGTGTAAAAACTATAACGGCGGAAGCAGCACTATTTCTTTTCACTTGTAAATACATTATTTTATTACATTGATTGTTATTTATCACAAAATTTAATTAAATGTAAAATAAAATGTCATATTATCCAACTATGTTAAATATAGTCGATATTTCTATGTATTGTTGACATCTGACAAACATCATAAACGGGCTGGATTATACCATTCAGAACAAATGACAAAACTGTCGAGCGAGTCCATTTGACATCGACTAGTGCTTGACAATGTCGAAAAATATATCGATATTTGACGAAATAACTGAACGAATTGTGTTATTTGTACAGTACAATAACATAAAATACTTTTATCACAGTATTCTACAATCTGATGACAATAAATTTACAAAAATATTTTCTAAATCAAATAAAAATATAAATGCAAAAATTATAATTAGTATGTGTACTTAATTTTTTATTTTATTTTATACCACATTTATATACTTTGGAATATTATTCCATTTTTTTAATCTTTACAAAATAATATTTATTATATATTATTGGAATATACACCCGATATTCATTTGTTTATTAACATTATTATAGGCCAACAGAATGTTGCCATCAATGCCATCGTATTTATATAAATCAAATTAAAAAATAATTATTATTTGACACATTATTATTGCCTCTTTAATTCATTTATTTTAATTTATTATAATAAATACAGATATTTTAAATTAAAAGATGTAAAATATGATGACTATTGCTAACCAATGTCTAAAATGTCATTCATTGGTTCATCGATATATGTATTTTATCGATTACGTTCAAGCACTAGAAATATTGTATTGTGTATCAGTGTTTATAATAATGTAATAAAATCTTTGTGTGCGTTATGCGTCACTTGGTTGAACTAGTTTTCATACATTTGTATTTTATGTCAGGTCCAGTCTCTAATTCGTCCATGATTTATTCTTATAAGCATTTAGTAATTGCTTATAAAATATTACTTGAAATTCTTTCAAGGAAAGCGGTTAATATTGATGACAAAATTTGTTTCAATATTTTTGGGAGTTAAATTTTAATTTGGCAAAATTTTGGCAAAAATTTTAGGTGCTGCTAAGTACTAGGAGATGTATAGAAATTGGTTTTGTTTAATTACTGTAACGTTTACTTTTAAAACTGATACTAAAATTAATTTATAATATAATATATAATTTATAATATAAATATAATATGATAAAAAATAAAATACTTAATTACGATTGTTATACTGAGTAACTAGGTTTGTAAAAACCATTGTTATATACAATGTGACTAATAACAGGGGAACGGGTGTCAGTACCGCGCGCGGCCGCCGTCGCCCGCGGGCGAGCTGGCGCAGCCGGCGCCGCTCGACCCGCAGCCGCACTTCGCCCTGCCGCCACCTACACTGCCATATGATGATTATAGGTATGTTTATAAAGTTTTCAGAAATGTAATTGCAATTTTTTTTATACTACAATATACTTTGTATTTAATTGTACTTAAAAATATGTATATACATATACAAAGAGGAGGGATGTGCCGTGCCGTATGTTCGGTCGAACTTTCGTATTAGGTATATACAGTGTATTTTTTTATTGTTCGAATTCAGTCAAGTATTCGGTTAATTTGCCGAACAATTACCGTATATTTTAATTGTATTATTCTAATATATATATCAAAAATGCTTTATGCTGATAATAACTATACATAAAACAAATACCATAATTTATTTATAAAATTAAAAAATCTTAAAGTAACCTATTTACTTTACAAAAATGCACTGAATAATTCGGCTAAACTTTCGTTTTGGTAAATTTTGGACAGAACATTCGTATTCAGTTGAACCAATATCCGACACATCTCTAGTTTATTACATAATCCCTTACAGATCATCAACATTCGGTCCAGCGGCGGGCAGTGTGGGCGTGGGCGTGAATGCGATGGGTGCAGTGGGCACGATGGGCGCAGTGGGCGCGGGCACGGTGGGGCCGGTGGGCACCGCGGGCACGCCTCCCCTCGTGCCCCCGCAGTCCCTCACCCCGCCCCAACCCCACTCGAAACGAGACCAACACCACCATGCTAATAATGCCGCACTCAAGAAAAAGGTTACACTCATAATTATGTCATTCTGTAGTTTTTGTAAGTTAGTTTTAAATATATTTTTTTTGTTTTAAGATACCCTTAGAAATAGATGTGTTAACATGTACTGTCAGGACAGTAGAATATAATGATAATAATTTATTGTGCTCATATCTGAGGATGATTTGTTCTGATGGTAATTTAAATGGTGGTTATAGTAGGTTTACATATTCATTTGGAATATTTCTATTAGTTTTAAATTAAATTTAAAAGTTAGAAGAAAATCAATGTCTAAAAATGTAATCATATTTTTTAAATAATATCGACAGTCAATCCATATAATCTGTTAATGAAATTTAGTTAACACCATTATGATTTTGCGACACGATGGCATATATACACATATAGGTATATTTCCGGATCATTTGAAGATCCTATATTTCACTTTACATATTATAATCTATACACGAAGACAACCATGCAATAAGTTTATGATATAACATTAACCGCACAGGGTCGTTTCGGCACGTCTCGAGCGCGCGCGGACGCGTACGGGCACTCGCACGGCGCGCCGCCCGGCCACGCCGCGCCGCCGCAGCCCGCGCCCGCCGCCTACTCCGCCATGGACGTGGACGGCGAGACCGACTCCAACCACGACACCGCGCTCACGCTCGCCTGCACCGGCGGCCACGAGGACCTGGTCGAGTTGTTGCTGTCGAGGGGCGCCGATATTGAACATCGGGATAAGAAGGTTTGTGTTTTGTGTACTTTTTATTACCTTTTCTCTTTAAACGAAGTTCAAAAAGGAAGAGGTTCTATATTCCTTTGTTTTTTATGTGCATCGATTTCTTGGAGATCGTTTCTGACTTTGTTAGTTTACATTGGTGTTCGATGTAATTTAAAAATTCTCCAATATAATTGAAAAAGCCTTTTTACTACAATCAAACCTTTGATCTAATTTTCGCTAAATCAAAAATGTGTAATTAAAAAAATACATGTTTATATATTTTTTATCAAATGCCGTTAAAGCACTTTGTACACGTGATTTAGATGCGTAACATTGTACTACTTATTTTGTAATTATAAACTAAAAACGAACGATAAAATGTATTATTTTGGTGCACACAGGGCTTCACACCCCTAATCCTAGCGGCGACTGCGGGTCACGAGAAGATAGTGGAGATCCTCCTGAACCATGGCGCGGACATCGAGGCTCAGTCGGAGCGCACGAAGGACACGCCGCTGTCGCTGGCGTGCAGCGGCGGCCGCTACGAGGTGGTCGAGCTCATCCTCAACCGCGGCGCCAACAAGGAGCACCGCAACGTGTCCGACTACACGCCCCTGTCCCTGGCCGCGTCGGGGGGATATGTCAATATTATCAGGCTGTTGTTGCATCATCAGGTAATCTATTAAAAATATATAAGGAAAATTCTATTAGAATAACAAATAGGTAGTGTCTGTTATGACAAAAAAAGGCGTCAACATACCTTAAAAATTCAGGAAAGAATATATGCATACAACTTGCAGATTACTAATTTTCTTGCAAAATTCAATTTTCTTGTTAATGGCTACAATGCGTGCTAATTAAGTACACATTAAATCGCCGCGTAAAATGGAGAAGACAATTTTCCAAAATTTATGGTCATCTAGTAAACGACAGAATGCTCTAGATCAGCCATACTCAACCTGCGGCCCGCCGAGCCTTTGTTATTGGCCCTTCTGAAGTTACATCTCAGAGTTGGCTTCCATTTTAAATTGCAATTACTCAGAGTAGTTTGATGAGTTCATCGATTTTGAAAACGATACCAATCTAGAAGTTCTGTTTAAAGAAAAAAGTATTTTATACGACATATAAATTATAAACCCAGGCTGAAATCAACTCCCGCACCGGTTCCAAACTCGGCATATCGCCGCTGATGCTGGCCGCCATGAACGGGCACACGGCGGCCGTGCGCCTGCTCCTCGACTGCGGCTCCGATATCAACGCGCAGATCGAGACCAATAGGAACACCGCCCTCACCCTCGCTTGCTTCCAAGGTATGTCACATTGTTTTATTTAGAATTTGCTACGCGAATAAGTGAATTTTATATTGTTGTTAACATAAAGGTGAATGAATAGTATAGTGATCTTAATATTTGCTGCATCTACGCCGCTTATAGCTGTTTTGAACTTAATGTGTATGTTCTATAGGTATTTGTTGTAATATTTATATACAAAAACAACAAATTTTAAAATATTTATAACATATGAATATAAATATGTTTTGTATGTTTTAAAGGTCTATAAGGCAACCTAAGCAGAAACCGTTAAAATTCAAATGTAACTACGCAACATTTCTGCTTTATTCTATATTTACATAAAATAATAAATACAAAATTTAAGTCCAAAAATTGTATAAAACTATAACAATAATTCACTTCCCCAGGTCGTCACGAAGTAGTGAGCCTCCTGCTCGACCGCAAGGCGAACGTGGAGCACCGCGCCAAGACGGGGCTCACGCCGCTCATGGAGGCCGCCAGCGGTGGCTATGTGGAGGTGGGCCGCGTGCTGCTCGACAAGGGCGCGGACGTGAACGCGCCGCCCGTGCCCTCGTCCCGCGACACCGCCCTCACCATCGCCGCTGACAAGGGACACACCAAGTTCGTCGAGCTGTTGTTGCAGAGGTATGATATGTTTATTGTATCAAATGGATTTATCATTTCATTTACTTTTGTCAGTTCTCGATATTTTGGCACTATTACAAACTCAATGGTGATATTTAGGGTTCTTCCACACTATAGTACTGATTACGATTCGCTTTCGGTCCGATATCGGTCTGGTAAAGTATTGTTAAACAAGAAGCAGTAGGTGCATTCACACTATCAGTAAGAGTCACGTTCCGGACGAATCACACTCCAGCAACGTTTCTTGTATAAAAAATCATTACCAGACCGATATCGGACCGAGAACGGACTGTGATCGGCATTATAGTTTGGTTAAGCCGTTACATTGAAGGGTACGTATGAACGCTAAATTTATTTGTTGGCAGTAGCTATAGCTGTCTATACTCTTTCTAATTCGTTTTGTACATACCACAGTCATATAGGTCGCTTGTAACTCGATTTGAGTCTCGACACACAAAACTCGCTGTTTTCACTCGCTGTTTCCACTCGCAAACTTTTATCCACGTGTTATGATGATTAGAATAAATCAAATCGGATTATTGTTATAAATGCGAAAGTTTTTATGTGTGGTTGTTGCTGAATTCAACGGTAATATCAATGGCTACATAAAGGATGTGGAGCGACAGTGTCTTAGGCTACTCTGAGAGCAGCGGAGACAAGATATTACAGATAATCATAATCTTAATTATATAAATCCAAAAGGAATTAGTACTTATGTATACATGGAAAAAAGCCAGATCTCTTAAACAGTCCACGCACTACACCACCTTAACTATTTCTAAGGCAAAGTGGTCGATTAAGTTTCTGTTGTAATTGTTTATTCTAAATTACTTGTTTGCCGATTGGCTAGGCCTAACGCAAACTTCGAGTTGTCAGACATTATTATATATTTGATGACACGTTTGGCTCAGTTTGTAGTGACCCTACTTGCTGTGCCACTGGTCGCGGGTTCGAGTCCTGCTGGTGGCATTAATTTGTGTAACGAGCACGAATGTTTGTACTTTAGTCATGGATATTTATATTTATAATATGTATGTATTTAAAGTTATACTCGTATATTATGTGTAGTGTATCAACTATCTGGTATCCATAACACAATCGTAGCTTACCATGGAAGTAGATGGTGCTGTGTGTTAATGTCCCAACATATATTATATAATATATTGTAATATTATATACCTAGGCGAGCGGCGGTAGAAGTGAAAAATAAAAAAGGAAACTCCCCTCTGTGGCTGGCTGCGAATGGCGGACACCTCGCTGTTGTGGAAATGCTATACGCTGCCGGCGCGGATATAGACTCTCAAGACAATAGAAAGGTGACTGAAACACTTCATTAAGTTTCTAATATCATTTTCAAAATATATATTACGTTTTTTAACAAAGTATTGATAACGTCTGTTATATGATATCCAGGTATCATGCCTCATTGCCGCCTTCCGCAAGGGTCACACGAAAGTGGTCAAGTGGATGGTCGGCGTCGTCACGCAATTCCCCTCCGATCAGGAAATGGGCAGGTATGATAAATATGTTTTGAAATTTTCGCTTTTTATATTTAAAACTAGACTAGCAGAACCCGCGACTTCCTTGGCGCTAAAACTACAGAAAAAGTTCTTTGGCTTTATGCTATTAGTGATATCGTATGGAAGTCTGCCCGATTTGTTGACATTTATGATTACCCATTGGGTAGTAACATGATGATATGTGGTCTACAGCCTACCTCAATACGTTTATAGAGGTAGGCTATCTATTGCAAAAAGAATTTTTCAAAACAAACAAACAAACACAAACTTATCATTTTTATAATATTAGTATAGATAATGACACACAATAACTGTTATGTTTTTTTACAATACAACATTATAACACAGGTATATCTGCACGATATCTGATAAAGAGCTGCTGGAAAAGTGCCAGGAGTGCGTCCGAGTGATCCGTGCGGCGAAAGAGACACAAGCGGCGCGCGCCAACCAGAACGCCACCATCCTTCTAGAGGAACTAGACGCGGAGAGATGCCGGGAGGAGAGCCGGCGCCAGGCGGCCGCGAGACGCAGGGAGAGAAAGAAGAAGAAGAAGATGGAGAAGAAGGTATGTTGGAGGCGATTAGAAATATAATGTACTATCTCTATGTAGAAATATTAGTATAAAATTTTCAGGGATGAGTTATATGTTGACCCGTGTAGCCAGCTATTAATATATTCCAAATTTCATCAAAATCTCTCCAGTAGTTTTTGTGCGATGCGGTAAAAGACAGAGACAAAATTCTAAAAAATATAGATTCGGTCTCTGTATCGGCAATAATGTCTATTTCAATAAGATATTCCATAAAATATTTAATGTACAGATTCGACTTAGTTACAATTTTATTATATGTATAGATGTGAGGATATTGTTCTAGGTAATGTTGTATGTGTGTACATGATCCGTGTAACTTAAAAATATATTCTTAAAAATGTTCGTATTTTTTTTCCATAATAATTTCTACTTATTTAGTCAGCAGAATTATAAAGACGGGATTTTAATTCATCTATACTAATTCTATTAACTAGCTTTTAAAAAAGATATTTTATTATTAAAATTACAATTTAACTCAATAATTACTATTAATATATGCTTGATAATTTACAAATAATAAATTTATTTAACAATAATAAATTTATTCCTTATTCTATATATCAGGAAGAGCGACGTAAACTTCAAGCGGAAAATGAAAAAAACACAATTTACTGCGAGAAAGCGCTCGGTGATATCTCGGAGGGCGGCGAGGGCGACGACGAGCCGGTCGCCCGCGAGGAGGGCGACTCCGGCATTGATGCCAATTCGCAGGTACATATTACATTTCTGTTACTACAATACATTTCTGTTATGTTATATACCTTTATTTATTTAGTATATAATTTTGTGTTAAAGTTTAATTATTTGTTATATGGCTGTAACACTGTTTTTTTTTATTAGTACCGTAGATAATCGAACAGGTTAAATGTATGATAATATCAGTAACTGAAGTGATAACAATTTTTCATTGACTTTAATTAACCTTATTCTTCATAGTTATTGCATATTATTTGATTGACTTAATATAAATATAAACCACCTCAGATGTTGCCATTTTTGCTACCAAATATTAAAATTTACACATTTGTAGGGTTCCTGCTCCTCCTCGGACGTGAAGGCACCTCCGGCGCAGAGTGCGAAATGCAAGAAGAAGAAAAAAGAAGAGAAAGCCCCCGCCCCGCCGCAGCAGCCACCGCCTAAGAAACAACCCGATAAAGTAAGTATATTTGAGATTTATTTGAGTTAGTTGTACGTAAAAGGTATATTTACATGGTAAGGTAAAAATACATAAACATTATTTTCTCAAGAAAATTGTACTTAAAGTATATAATATTGTTAAGCAAACAGATTTTCATATATTTCATATTTTCATAATAAAACATGTTTAAATGATTTTGTAATTTACAGGTGAAACCTAAAATAGAAACAAAGCCTGAAAAAGAACCCAGTGCTAAAAGTGATAAGAAACAGGAGAAGGAGAACGTAGCGCCCAGCTCGCCCCCCGCCACTCCCTCCAAGCCCTCCGTGCCGGAACGACGCGCGGAGAAGAAAGAAAAGTAATATATATAATAACTGTTATTAATAATTATGACTTATTCTTGTTTTAAAAATATAATCATGTTGAAGATTTTTTTGTAATTGACCGATTGCATTTGGAATACTAAAAATTCAAAATTTTTGAGTGATTTTTAATGCTAGTATTAGATATAAAAAAAATTCTATCTAAATTAATAATAAAGATTAAATTTAAACTTTGAGACGTCTAAAACCTTCGGGAACAAAATAAGTCAAAATCCAAAAAAAAAATATATTCTGTACCTGATTCACACAAACTAGTAATATTTAACAGTACAAACATGCTTACATAGTTTACATAATACATATTTGTTTACTTTAGTAATACAATTAGTTTTCATATTAATATTGAAATTATAACACAATGATTTCATCATCATTATTTGATTTCATCATTAGTAGTTACAGGATAAATATCATAAGTCTCAGGGCTATATAGTGTATGTTGTTGCAGAAAACCCGAGGAGGATGCCAAGAGCATCACAGTGCAGAACGTGAAGTACGGCAGTAACTCGCGAAAGAGTCAAGTGTTCGAGTCCAGCAGACACAATGTGGACAAAGACGATGACGTGACTGATAAAAATAAGAAGATACACGCTAATCAGTAAGTTTCATGAAGAATTTAAAAAAATAATTAGCCGAATTAAAAATTAAAAATGTTGTTTTTGAACATTTTTCGTACATTTTAGTGATTTTTTTATTCAAATTCGAAGTAATTGATTCTATAATATGATAATATCTTCTATGATCTTATCTGCTAAATTAGTACATAGCTATTAATACTTGTACAGCATGCACTTGTGTTCTTCTATTTCAATTCAAAAGTACATGTTCATTATTATACAATAATGAAATATGTTAAGTCATAATTACTTTTAAACCATTGAACCATATTGAATGATATTTCATGTTAATGCAATTTATCTATACCATACCCACGGTTCTAAGAACTTAGATTTTTTTGGTGTATTTAAACATATTATTTTTCATAATGATAAACTCTAGATGGGAGGGCGACACTAAAAGCACCTCTCCGAAAAGCAACAGCGGAGGCGCTCGACGCGAGGAGGGCTGGAAAGAAGTCGTGCGCAAGTCCAGTGTACAAGCGCTCTCTACTCTTGAGCCCGGGTGAGATAATCTATTTACTGGGTTTTTTTTATTATTATTTAGTGTGAAACTTTATAATATACATTATGTATCTTTTATTGTAAAGTTCAATTGCATATAAGTGTTATTTTTCTTTTTTTTATTGCTATTTGTGCTCCTATCACTCACGGCCACACTCGTGGCAATTTGTTTGAATAGTAGCGTGATATGGATAATGGAATAGTCTATATATCATTGTTTAATATAATTTCATATAGTAGCAGGAATGTATATTATTTTTTATATAATTAGTAAAGCTAAACACTAAGCTATAACATAAACTTACACAAATTTTAAATAAAGCTATATTTTTAGGATTTTTCCGCGGTTTTATATCATATGTTCGTGTAAGTTCGTTTAAGACACTATTAACTCGTACAATAATAATGTATTTTGTTTGACCGTGTGTCTCGTTGTGTGGTCGCAGATGCAAGAAGGTGTCGGTGGCGGCGCACGCCATCTCGCGCGTGATCGGTCGCGCCGGCACCAACATCAACGCCATCCGCTCCGCCACCGGCGCGCACATCGAGGTCGACAAGCAGGTCAAGGGGCAGGGCGAGCGAATCATCACCATCAAGTGAGCATATCAAATTATATTTTATTCAAATAGACTTTTACAAGCACATTTGAATCGTCAATTTTACATTTTAAAGTTTAAATTAAATGTTAGTGTAGTCGATCCGTGAGGAATCTACCACCGGCTCGGAATGCAGTTCTGCTGAGAAGAACCATCGAGAAACTCATACTATATATGAGTCACACGCCACACATTCCTTAAATACTAGCGACTTAACCTCCCTTCTCTTTCTACGTTCCTAACAATAATAATAATGTGCTCCCGACCGATTCCGGCCACGGCGACCAATCTCACTGAGACTAGCCAACTGCGCGGGAGATATAGTGAAGCCTGTGTACACGCAGACATAACGTGCACTCTCTATTCCTTTTACTCTAAGTCCGATGGGACAATACTTCGACACGACTTTACAAAGGCGGTGAAACACCGACTTTCTAATTCCAGGGCTACTACTGAAAATATTTTGACAAAAAAACTCAATAATTAAACTATTATGAAGAGAATAAATATTATAAAGAGGCCGAGTTTTTTTGTTTGAATGCGCTACTCCCAGCTCAATATTGAATGATTACAATTGTGTGACAATCATTCATTCAATTGTTTTACCAGGGGCTCGGCGGAGGCTACGAAGCAGGCGGCGCACCTGATCGCGGCCATGATCCGCGACCCCGAGGCGGACATCGGGCAGCTGCTGCGCGCCAAGCCCGCCGCGCCGCCCGCGCCCGCGCACCACGCGCACGCCGCCAAGCCCGCGCCGCACAAGCAGCCCGTTGCCAAGGTAACCGAATCCATACTAATATAAATGTGAAAGTGTGTTTGTTTGTCCTTCTTTCACGTCGAAACAGAGTGACGGATTGGCGTGATTTTTTTTTGTGGAGATAGTTGAAAGGCTGGAGAGTGACATAGGATACTTTTTACTCAAGAAGCTTATCTCATTCCCACGGAAAAACACGTTATAATACAATGCAACAAATTATTTATGATCAGAATTACTTGAAACTTAATATTAATGCTCTTCAATACAATTAAAGAAATCGTGTTTTAGCTTTTTTTTAAATTCATCCTATAAAGAGGTAAAATAAGAGATCAAAGTTTGCATGAAGTCTACCTTTTTAGAGTTTTTTTTGCAGTTTTAGCGCGAGCGAAGCCGCGCGTTCTGCTAGTATACTTATACTATTCTCATTGATAGTGGCTAATGATGATTATTTCTAAAATAGCTTAATTCATTCTCTACTTTTAATCCCTAGATATAATGCATAGTAACACGGACTCGTATTAAAAATAAATAGATTGGATGAATTACTTCTAAGAGTGACCAAAATTTTTTTTTAATTGACATCCAATAGACTTGAATTTCTAATAGTAAAGATTTATTATTACGCTTAAGTTTTTTACTGGACATGAATTAGTTGTTATCAAGTGTGAATAAATCATACTGTGTATGTTCATATTCAATTTTTTTTTACCTACACTCAGAGTATTTAGAAATATAATGAACCTATAACCGCTATTACAGCCAAGCGTACCGATGGGCATCGCGTCGACAATAGTGGGCATGAGCACGAGCCGCGGCGCCGCGGCCGGGCGTGCCGCCGCCAAGCCGCACGCCGCCGCACGCCCGCCCATGCCGAGGCTGCACGCTCACGGTACTTACTCTGCTTCTTATTTACACGCTTATGTTATAAACGAAACTAACACTTTGGAAGTTTTTGCGTTTTTATTTTATATTTTTGTTCATTAGATAGTATGTGAAATTTACTCGGAAATTTGAAAGAAAATAAAAGTCAATATAAATATGTTTCTCTTTCTTCCTTTTTTCTATGTAAGGTAAGCAATCTAAGCAGATTGGAAAGTACGAACAGTATGTTAATATCCAGTATCTAGTTTAACATGAAGTAATTTCTTTTTTTTACCATTAATGATCCTAAATCTAATTTGAATTTTTTCAAGGTATTGATGCATATGAAATTGACACATGTATAAACAAATTATATATCCTATAACTTTCTTTTTACTACTTAAAAAAATGATTTCATTTTGTTTTATGGTTCCCGAGTTTAGAGTGTTTAAATATTTGTGTTCTATTTGTATAATGTAATACTATATGCTCTACAAGCTAGGTATTCAATTGAATAATGAACATATTTCCCTAGCAATACAACTGCCGGAGAAGCGTACAGCGACCACAACGACGACATCCACGGCCACCTCATCCCTCACCACCACCTCCAGTGCCAAGACGTTGTCGTACACCGGCGCTATAGTTGGTTCCCGCGGGCATACCTTCGCTGCGAAACTCACTGCCACACCGCCTGTTGACACCAAGCCACGGCCTACGCCACAGGTACAAACTTGTTTCTGTTTTGTTAACATTACAAAAATGCTTGCTTTTTGCAAAGATAGACGGACAGACTAATATTCTATATATCCACTTTATTTACGGGAATATAAAGTAGCTAATATATCGCTCTGTACTCCACAAAGTGCCCGTACGAAATATTTAGTCGATTTATTGTTACGTTGCTGTTGAAAATAGAATAAAGACACAATTTCACTTTGTATTGGGTATCTACTATAATATTATAAAGAGGTATGTAACGTTTGTGAGTTTGTGACGTTGTAGGGGATAATATATGGATCTACTGAACCGATTTAGATGAAATTTGGCATGAAGATAGTTTGAGACCCTGGGAAGGACATAGGATACTTTTTTCCCTTAAGAGTGTAAAAATGGGGATGAAAGCTTGTATTGGGAAGCAAGCTAGGGACGAACTCGAACGAAGCGAGGGTGAGTCGCTAGTGTATATTGTATTTGCTTCTCAACCCCGCCTACCCCGCCAGGTGGTGCCGAGCAGCCCGGCGCCCGGCAACGGCGGCGCGGGCAGCGCAGGCGCCGCCTCGCCGCTCAAGGCGCGCGACTCTCCCCCCGCCAAGATGGAGGACGAGCCCAGGCCGATGATGAGGCAGCATACTGATGTTTTGCAGGTATAGTCACGAGCCTAAATATGTATATTAATCTATACAGATAAATTAAATTGAAGTGTCTGTTTGTAATGTCAAAATAACAGTTTCTTACTAAATGCATATGGAATTATATACGGTATTTATAAGAAAAACACAATTTTTAAAATTTTTGTCTGTCTGTCTGTTTATTCCGGCTAATCTCCGAAACGGCTGGGCCGATTACGGGACTTTTACTGGTAGGTAGTTGATGTTATAAGGAGTAACTTAGGCTTCTTTTATTTCAGTAAAAGAATTAGGGTTTCGCTCAAAAAAATTAAAATGTACCTAGTTTAGCTACCTCGCTAGTTTTAAATAAAGCCATCTTTTCGGATTTTTTCGCGGATATATTTAGATTTTTGCTTCTCGACGTTTCGAATGCTTTACAGCAATCATGGTCACGAGGGACTATATTATATATTAGACACTATACCCTCTCGCAAATCCCACAGATTTGCGAGATGAGTATGCATGAAATGATACTTTAACAATAAAAAGAGATGAATGATATGATAATAAGAATGGAATAGAATGAAAGATGAATAAAAGAAAAGGAGGTTTTGTGATAACGGCGGCATTACGGTACGCAAAAACATTGTTCTCACTAGTTTAAATAGAATAAATAGTCAGTGTTTTTTAAACGCCATTTATTTGTATCCCCAGATCTTACATTAATATGGACAGTTTGAATATAATATCTTATTTGTGATGTGAATATTGGAGGTTTCCATAAGCATAATTGGTTTTTAATACTAATTGTAAGTTTTTTTGATGTTTAATGACTAAAATTTATCTCTTATTTTAATTTTTAGCTAAGCCCTGACAATTCAAGCACTTGGAGCAACGAAGACATCCCAGTGAATCCTTCTTCAGCACTCCATATTAATACCACTCCTCAGGTAAACAAAACATATAAAATTATGTTAAACAAAAAGCATCTGTATATGAAAAATTTATTTAACACATATTATTCGTACTAGTGTCTGGGGTGGAGGGAATTTTTTTTTCTTAGAATTTGTAGTGTATAAAAAACAAAATTTTTGAAAACAAAATATTTTTTATTCAACATTTTGAGGTGGCCCACTGATTTTTAAAATAAATAATTAATTGAAAATTTTGATTTGAAAGAAAAATTTTTTTTTCGAGTGATCTTTTAAAATAATCAAAAATTGACTATTATAGACCTTTTCTACTCAACTTTCACTTCATTCAAACACTTATGCATATAACATGATAGTAATTCGTTATTTGTTGGCGCCCATCCCCTGACTTCCTTATAAATTATTAGACAACTATGACACATTCATCCTACTATCCTACTTCCTACTAATATTATAAACGCGAAAGTTTCAGAATAACACGTAAACTACTTTTTATCCCGGAAAAACGTACAGTTCCCATGGGATCGATTTGTTTTTGTTTTGTATCTAAATAACTTGCGAATATCCATTATCAGATGAACACGAGCGTGTCGTGCGCGAGCGCGTCGAGCGCGGCGAGCGCGGGCGGCGGCGGCGCGCAGGAGTACTCGCTGTTCAAGGACCTGTCGGTGGGCGCGGCCGCCGTGTGGGGCGCCGCCGAGCCGCACAACGTCGACCTCGCCACGCCGCAGGTCAGTTGTGCTGGGCACGTCCCACTGCTGGGCACCTGCCATAGTCCACCGCGCTGGCCGAGTGCGAGTTGGCAAACTCACATGTCTTTGGAATACTTGGTAGGTCGTCTCAATCGTGCAGGTTTCCTCACTATATTTTTCTTAACTATAAGACAAGTGGTATTCATGTTGGAAATTATTCACACGGACATCATTATGTGCGAGAGCGTTATTTGAACCTGCTTCGCACGGTTTCTCAATCGAACGCTACAACGCTGGGCTGTTACTGCCTGTTAGTTATTTCCTATTTTGTTTTATTGCTTTATGTTTTTTACTAAAGCAAGAAGTACCTTTCTACTTAGTAAGCAACCTAGAGTCTTTCGCAGACGATATTGTTGTAACCGATTAAATTTATATTTGCCGATTTATTATATAAAATAAATGGATTATCCTTGCTCGGCTTTTGCCCCTTACAGAAACGATTTTTCCGAATTTATTCACGACTTAGACTAGACTATCTGTCTTTTTTTTCTGATTACCATATGAAAATCTCTGTTACTTTCTGATATTAGACTAAACAAACAAAAACAAGTTTAATTTATAATTAAAAAAAATTTGTCTGATTTATATATTGTTTGCATTCAATATTAAACCTAGATAGCCAATTAGTGTAGACTTTTCTTTAATAAAAAATCATTATTTATTAAAATATTATATACTCCAGGTGGACGCAAGCAAGGCGCCGGGCTACCGCGGCGGCGGCGGCGGCTGCTCGCCGTGCTCGCGCACGTCGTCGCACGGCTCCACGCCTCCGCCGCCCCCGCCGCCGCCCTACCACCCCATGCCTATTGGTGAGTCACACGTCCCGCGCCTGGGCAGTGGGCATGCTTCTCTGCTTAGTAAGAAAGTGATCAAATATATTTTTTTTTTGATAATATATACTGTTGATGTTGTTCTACGTCGTTTTGAAACTATTTCACTTAGTTTTGCAAGCAAATGGGTTGCTCATGGTGTGAAATTTACTGGTTTTATATATTAAAAAATATATGATTATATAATTTATATTGTATTATTCCTCAGGCAATGCTGTTAATGCAATGGACATGAGTGGATTATCTCGGAATGGACCAATTTATCAAGACAACCCCAGAAATGGACATAACATGATGGCAAGTATTTTATATCAATAACTGTATCTCAATTAATTTGTACATATACTTTTATGTTCAATCTTAATTTAAAAAAATACTCCAGTATAGACAAAAGAGTGTAACACCTAAACACATTCCATACCATTTCAACCTATCTGTGATTATAAATGTAAATGAAAAACATTCAAACATCAGTTTCAAATAAACCGATAGACGTGATTTTAACTTCTTAAAAATTAATATTCTGTATTGTAATTCACTAATGTTATATAATTGCGACGTCAGGTGGGCATGTCCGGCGGTGTCTCGGGCGTGTCAGGCGTGTCGCTGGGCATGGGCTACGTGGGCGTGGAGAGCGTGTCGCGGCTTAACCCGCGCGCGCCCGACTTTGCCCAACGCCACCCGCTGCTGCAGCAGCAGCAACATAAACACGCTACACAGGTAAAGCTTTGTTTATTACTTGAATCTTTTAATGTATGTTTGTTACTATTTCACGATATAACTACTGAACGGATTTTAATGAAACTACAGTAATATGGCTTATACAGCAGAGTAACACGTAAGTTTTAATTTATAAAGATATAGTGATACATGATTAGATATTGATTTTTTTTAAAGTGCAATAAAGAATAGTATATATATAGATTACGCGTGTGTAGTCGCAGGAAAAAGCTAGTGCTAATACATATATATTTGCAAATAGTAGATGCAAAAGATGTATTTAACAAATGGTAACCTGGTGGCCGATTTGAGTTACGCTTCTAACGCTCTTCTAGAAATTAATATAATATGGTACTAAAACTATTTTGGCAATATTTTTCATCGACATGTCAACCACGTGGGTTAAGCCTCTTGCAAAAAAGTTATATAATACTATAGATTTACTTTGCTTCGTTCCAGTGTGTTCGTAGCATTGCAGTATCTAGTGTTACTCCAGGTTTATTAAACCTAATAGGCTGTGTATTAAATTTCGTCCAAATCCGTCCAACCATTTCAGCGTTGAATCACAAACGCATACATAGTAACTATTGTACTTATATGAGTATATACGATGAGGAATATAATTATATTCTTTAAAATAAATTATATATTAAATATACATTAAAATAATAAGAAAAATTTTCTTTACAGCAACTATTCCCGGGCGGAAGCGGCGGTAATATTAACTCCATGCTACCGCTGTACCCGCCCAGCGCACAGCCCAAGATGACACTCGGACACCCCTACCAGGTTAGCACTTCATATCCCTCCATTGCCATCTCTTAAGTAAATACTTATTTTCTTCCGTAAATCCTAATATCCTTACCGATAGCCATCTTATGTCTATGTGTACCATTTATTGATGTTGCCACAATAAGAACATTCTCGTGCATAAAATAACAGAGAAAGCTTGATAATGCAATTAGTATATTTTGTGTCATCGTTCAAACAAATTCCAGTCGCTAATCGACCGAGGCGTGGGCGTGGGTGTGAACTCGGTGGGTGTGGGCGTGGGCTGGGGCGAGGAGGAGGAGCGCAAGCCCCGGCCCATCGGCACGGAGCGCGCGTGGAAGCAGCTCGCGGCGCCCGACGACTGGCTGCACGCGCACCACCACCGCACCGACCATGATAGATACCAGGTTATTTTATATTAATATTATCGGTTGGTATGGAATAGATTGACTATATAATATTATAAGATATATAACCTTCAATAAACGAGCTATTTAATACAAAAAGAATTTTTCAAATCGGATTAGTAGTACATACCTGAGATTAGCGCGTTTAAAAAAAATTAAAAAAACTGCTTCTATATAATAATCCCCATACAAACTTTCGCCCCCATTTTCATCTCTTAAGGGATGATTTCCGGGATAAAAACTATCTTATGTCCTTCCCAGGGTCTCAAACTATCTTCTTAACAAATTTCATCTAAGTCTGTTCATTAGATCCAGAGATTATCCCCGACAACGTCACAAACTCACAAACTTTACCTCTTTATTATATTAGAATAGATTAGTGTAAATGTCACACTACAAATGTTAAACATATAAATGTTGCACCACAGCAAAGCGTAAGCGGTATGGGTGTAGGCGTGGGCGTGGGCGCGGACGCGTACGGCGCAGTGGGCGCGGGTGCGACGGCCACCGCGCTGTCCATGATACACACGCTGCCCATGCCCTACATGCCGCCGCCCGACCACCACCACTGGGACCAGCCGCCGCACCACGCTGCTGATAAACAGGTATACCCGATATTTACATATATCTACCAACTCTTAACTCCACAACACATGCGCCGAATAATATCTCTCGCAAGATTGGTGCCATGTTATGTGTTATACGCGATAGCTATACCTTTTTTAGATGTATAAAATATTATATCTGGTATGGTAATTAAAATTCTTGACCTTTTAAAAACTTTTATAGTCCTCAAGTGTCTTTGTGACTCTTCTCTCCTTTTTCTTTTAGTTAACTGATTGAGATTCAATTTAGCTTTATTTTTAATTCACACTATCCTGTATAGTAAAAAAAAGCACTAAATTTCATGAATGCAAATCCATATTTAATAAAAAATCTTGGATATTTATATTTCATGGAATCTTTACTTAACTTTTTATTTATGGTTCATACATTAATTTTATTATAAAACTAGCGGCTCAAACTCGCTTCGCTAAATTTTGTCCCAAGTGAAAAACAAAAACAAATCTATCCCACAGGAATTGTATATTTTTCCGTGATAAAAAGTAGCCTATGTGCTATTACAGACTAATCTATCACTGTGCTAAATCTCATCTAGATCCGTTCGCCGTTCTGGCGTGATTGAGTAACATCCACCAAAGTAAGATACTGCATAATTATTTCTGTAACGACTGCTAATATAATAAATCTGTTCTTTTCCCACAGCAGGCCTGGAGCAAATGGAGCCACTAAGCGCCGGCAGCCGCAACTATCCCACGAGGATTATATATAATTGTAACCCTTGGAAACGGTGTAGATATTAGTGAGAAAGAATTATATTATACAGATTATCTATATACATAATAGAGAAAATGTCCTATCGAGAAGAGTCCTTATACTGTACGATCGACTGAAGTGAGCATTAAACGATTCATACTGAGACACGTGACGGGAGCCGGTGTAGTTTTATTTGTCGCTCGCTCTCGGCTCTCCAGCTGTAACTGCTGCTATTTTAGGCCGCTTGGAATGTGATTCCGCGCGCTCATATTCACTATGTAATGGCATAATACGATCCGCTCTCGAGTTGCAGACCGTGACGATTAAACGTGTAATAATAAATTTGCTTGTACATGAAGATTAAATATCATATATTGATGCACTGTAACCACTGGTGTTTTTAATGCCACCTGTATTTTTCAATTTTTTTTTTTATTAGGTCTATTTGGGTAATGTGTATATTTATAAGTAAATTATTACTGAGGACTTGCTATGTCTCGAATATGATTAAAGCAGGATATGCGGTAAGTCTAGGCAAATAAACCGTTATTAAAACTTGCACAGTGTCTTCTTGAGTAGGGACATACACTTACTATAATCACATGCTTAATCCCAATAATTTACACCAGAAAATAACTGAAAGAAATTGACTCTTAAGAAGATATTTATGAACAATCTAGGATTAATAAAGAAATTGCTAAATTTTACAAGTGTTTATTAAATGGAATTATTTTTACATATGAGATTCTTTCTAATATCAAATAGGATATAATATGTAGAAAATATTTTGGTAAAATAATTGTCAAAAAAAAGAAGAATAGAAAATATCATGTTAATATACACATATTATGTTAAAAATTACAAAAAATAGAGATAACTCTTATTAGATTTATAAAAAATTATCCATATATGTATTATTAAATCAGAAATAACACAAGTCACTAATATTTCATGCAACTTCTTTATTCTTTGGAAGATAATTAGAGACTTAATTATTGGCTCAAAAACTATACTAGCATTAAATCTAGGCTTTTTCTACCATATTTTTACTATATAACTTAACGTATACAAATTATAACTCTGTATGTCTCGCCATTATCTTGCCTTCGAGTTCTGCGTGCAACTTTTCAACTTTGCGCGTGTGCTTCTTTATCATCTGCTGCTGATCTGCGAAATGGTCCATCTTGTCACCGGCTGCTGCGATCTGCTATCACAATTATAATTTATTTAATTAAAGAAATAACCAAATCTATAAATAGAGTTTTAGATGGAAAAATATTCATGATTTTAATCATAAATTGTAATTAACATATATTTCCAAATATTTCATCTACAATATTTTAAGCACATAAAATTTTATGAAGCTGTTTTTAGTTGTCTTTTTAAGATAAAGCAAATTAGATTGTCTGTTTGTGAGTAAATAAAAATATACCATATGGAATAACTAAAATGGGATGAATAAAAAAAGTTAAACAAATGGCTTTGAGAAAAATGAAAACATACAACCTTACTATGATGTTTCTCATAGTTGCTTACTTGGTCCGCGTGGAGTGTACGCAGTTTGAGCAGGCGGGACTCGTAATGCTGCAGCTCCACCTTTAATACAGAATAAATATATATTTTATACAATAAAGTTCATGCAAATCTATGTCTATACCTACTAATATTATAAAGATTTAGAATTTGTTTGAACGCGCTAATCTCAGGAACTCTTAAACCGATTTGAAAAATTCTTTTTGTATTAGACATGTTATTCAGGAAGACAATAAGTTATGCATCATATAATATGTACCTAGGGACGAACCCGAGCGAAGCGAGGGCGAGTCGCTAGTTTATATATAAAGCTGAAGTGATTGTATGTTTGACTGTGTGTATCTTAATCTTTCGAATATCAGTCACAAAAAAAATATTTGCACCTTAGTCTATTTATTCAAGAAGGCTATGTAACGGACAGAATCACGCGCAAATCTAAACTTATAGGTATGACCAAATAATATTGTTTTGGGCTAAAATGAGGTCTTTTTAGCTAGCTTAAACCAAAGTGGGAAACAGATCTGTAGCCTTCGCGAAGCTTAGCATCCTATGTAATTACTTACAAAACAATTCCTATACAAACGAGCGCAGAACCGACCACTGCGCAACTTTCTCAACAAGCGTGTTCATTAAATACCTTAATCCTTCCACGAGCACGACACGCCGGCGTTACAGTTAACAATAGATTTCTTAGAAATTTAATTAATTTCTTAGAAATTTACCTGTAGGTGTTAATAGAACCAATCTTGATTTATTACAAAAGCCTTTTAACTCATTATCAGTAATATTATAAAAAGGCAAAGTTTGTTTGTATGTAGGGGGTAAACTGACCCCCCCCCAACGTGCGTTCACCTTGTCGTGGTGGGGGGGCTCAGTAGTAGTAGCGAAGCTAAGAAACGCACAGGGAGGTTGCCCACTTCGGTGGGCGGTGGGAGGTGGCCCTCTTCGGGGGGCGGTGTACCTTGCGGGTTGCTCCTGGTACTTCTCTGATAGCAGAGTGGACCTTGGAGCAACCCCATGGTTGTAGTGATCTGCGTTGGCAGACCTGCCGTCGGGGCGTCGTAGTTGAATGCGTAAGCGATCCTGCGACGCCCCATTAAGACGGGGGAAGGTTTTGTTGGGTTTTAGTGGGTAGTACTGGCTGTATTACGCCGGTGAGTCCCACACGTCGTGCGTAAATGCATTTCCCAACGTTAAAAAAAAAAAAAAAAAAAAAAAGGGGGTAAACTGAGACTACTGATCTGACTCTGAAATTTTTTTCACTAATAATGAGACAAATTACCGCCAAATGCTAGAGGCTAACTTTTATTCCGTTAGAAATGGGTTTACTGTCAAAAATTAAATACCGCCCGCGTTCAGATAACCAAAAACCAAATCTTAGGTTTTACATATTAGTATACTCGTACATTGCAGTTTTTGTATTTTTTCTCACAATGAGATATTTTTCCGCGGTAAAAAGTATCCTATATGTTGATCCTGATAACCAGCTATCACCATACCAAATTTGATCAAACTCCCTCCAGTGGTTTTTCTGTGATGCGGTAAGACCATAAACGAATTAACCACTGGACTAGACATATAAGCGGACATACCTTTATCGGTCTTCTCAGTAACCAGGAGATTTTAGGCTTGGTCGTTTGTTTTTTGCGTCAGTCTCAAGCACTTATTTGTCAACAAAACATCTCCCAAAAATGACTAAATGTTCTGTTAAATGATGTAAAAACTATAACGGCGGAAGCAGCAGTGGCACAAATTCAGAATTGGGGACTTGGCCCCTAGCGGAGTGGGTGGTATTTCTGGATAAGGGACGTGATAGGGAGTCGAAATGTTAAATAAAAATTGTCCGCGAACGTATGAGTAAAAAGTTATTGAGACTTAAAGTTACAACATTTCCATACATTTTCATATATTTCTTTACCACCATTCGGAGTGGGTGGTATTTTTAGATAGGGGAGGTGACAGAGAGTCAAAATATATTAAAAATATTTGGAGGAAACGTACGAGTAAAAAGTTATTGAGACTTAAAGTTATAACATATCTAACACATTTCCATACATTTCTTTACCTAAATAAGTGATTACAACAGATAAACATACCTTTAACGAATAGTACGCATCCTTTTTTATGTACATTACACATTTTCACAACAATTAATGCTTTATTGTATTTAATATTTTAATAATTTCACAACACAAACAAAATGATCTTACATTTTGACAAAAGCAAAACTGACACTTTGTTTTATATTACCGCTTAAATGACAACAGATTATATTTGATTATTTTTGCTTTTTCTGTTGGTAAAATATTAATATTAATAAATAAATAAATAAAAAGAAAAATATTATTTTCATTTCATAAATACATTTATGATTTTTTATCTGATTTATGTAAAATATATTGTTTTACAATTGTACATTTAGTAAAAAAAAAACATTTTTTTATCTGTGAATATTTTTCAGTATTATTGGCGGGTGTTCTTAAAATACCGCGAAGTTTCATAATTTGTGACTCTGTACTCTGTGTATTTTCCATTAGTTATTAGTTTTTGTTAATTTTTATATACTTTCGTTTCTTGTTTTTGTTTTAATATTATTTTTATAGTTTTAAGTGTTCATAGTGTTAGTGTAAACAATTTATAAACGTGAGTAGACTATTTTTAAAATCTAAATGTATTATTTACTTTTGGTTTTTATTTTGCGACATCGTGGTTAGTTTAAGACATAGGTTATTTATTTATTATTCGTCATATCTTGGTTAGGTTAGGTTAGAACATTTAAGATTATTTATTTATTATTCCTCATATCTGGGTTAGGTTAGGTTAGAACATTTAAGATTATTTATTTATTATTCCTCATATCTGGGTTAGGTTAGGTTAGAACATTTAAGATTATTTATTTATTTATTATTCCTCATATCTGGGTTAGGTTAGGTTAGAACATTTAAGATTATTTATTTATTATTCCTCATATCTTGGTTAGGTTAGGTTAGAACAGTTGCCACAACGCACGAGCCGAGCGAGCGAAGCGAGCGTGCCGCGGTAGCGGCCGGCGAGTGCCATAAATGTCTAGAAAACTAGAAAATTCGAATTTCACGCAAAGTACAAATAAAGACAATCATCTGGAGATCATTTTGACAATTGAAAGTGACGTTTTGACTCCAAGTGTCTAAATGGTAGTAATGTCAAAATAATGTATGGAAATGTTGTAACTTTAAGTCTCAATAACTTTTTACTCATACGTTCGCGGACAATTTTTATTTAACATTTCGACTCCCTATCACGTCCCTTATCCAGAAATACCACCCACTCCGCTAGGGGCCAAGTCCCCAATTCTAAACGGCCGCCGCAGCAGTATTTCTTTTCACTTGTAAATACATTATTTTATTACATTTATTGTTATTTATCACACAATTTAATTAAATGTAAAATAAAATGTCATATTATCCAACTATGTTAAATATAGTCGATATTTCTATGTATTGTTGACATCTGACAACCATCATAAATTCCTGGATTATACCATTCAGAACAAATGACTAAACTGTCGAGTGAGTCCGTTTGACATCGACTAGTGCTTGACAATGTCGAAAAATATATCGATATTTGACGAAATTACTAAACGAATTGTGTTATTTGTACAGTACAATAACATAAAATACTTTTACCACAGTATCCTACAATCTGATGACAATAAATTTATAAAAATATTTTCTAAATCAAATAAAAATATAAATGCAAAAATTATAATTAGTATGTGTACTTAATTTTTTATTTTATTTTATTCCACATTTATATACTTTGGAATATTATTCCATTGTAATAATAATAAAGATCATTTTATTTCAACACATAAATTACACAAAATCAAACAATAATGTTTTAGCACTAAACTTCTGGTTTGGCGATTTGTAATAAAACACTTTACCACTTGCACTAATTATTTTACTTTCACGATCCAACACTCACTTTAATTTGCAATCTCTTTTTCTTTTTCCTAATTTCACAAATGTTTATTAAGAACTTAGCAATATTAGGACAGTGTCACATTTTTATAACTCCCCGAGACAATCAATTGCCAATTAAAATAGTTCAATAACAGAATCAACAAAAACACTTTATTTAATTAAATTAGCTTAATATTTTTTTTAATCTTTACAAAATAATATTTATTATATATTAATGGAATATATACCCGATATTCATTTGTTCATTAACATTATTATAGGCCAACAGAATGTTGCCATCAATGCCATCGTATTTATATAAATCAAATTAAAAAAATATTATTATTTGACACATTATAATTGCCTCTTTAATTCATTTATTTTAATTTATTAAAATTAAAAGAAGAAGAATAAATTAAAAGATGTAAAATATGATGACTATGCTAACCAATGTCTAAAATGTCATTCATTGGTTCATCGATATATGTATTTTATTGATTACGTTCAAGCACTAGAAATATTGTATTGTGTATCAGTGTTTATAATAATGTAATAAAATCTTTGTGTGCGTTATGCGTCACTTGGTTGAACTAGTTTTCATACATTTGTATTTTATGTCAGGTCCAATACAAAAATTCTAAAAACTATAGATTCGGCCTCTGTATTGATATTAATAATGTTCATTTGAATAAGATTTTCCAATAAATATTTAATATACAGATTCGGCCTTGTTACAATTTTATTATACGTATAGATGAAAAAAGAGCCCTAGGGAATACCCGAGCAAAGCGAGGGTAAGTCGCTTGTACTACTTTTTAAGAAAATATGGAATATTATTAGAGTTAACCATACCTTCAACGAAGCCAGCTCGTCGACGGTGAAGTTGCCCGCCGCCGCCATACGCCACAGGCCTTGCACTTTGGGTTCGATGAACTCTTTGTTGTTGGGACCTTTAATAATACAGATATAGTAATAAAAAATACATTGTATATTTCTAAATAAATATGGCAGAAAAAAAATTCAGATTGCTGAAAAACTGCACTATCAGTTACAATGGATACTTTAGAGTTGACGGTAAACATGATTGCAGTCTTAAACAACGTATAATTTATTAACCAAATATATAAATGATGTACAAAAATATATTTTAATTAACCTTTCGCCGCAATTCTCTGCAACCTGTCGTACCCGTCCCGCAGGCCGCGGTGTTTCTCCCGCACCAAGTTCGCCTTATCGACAAAGTTTTTGTCAACATTCTCATCTTTGTTATCTTGTTCGTAGTTGATGTCATTGAACCTTTCCATTTCTTCTTCATCCACTGCATCTAAAAGACGTAAGTTGGCGTACATCGTTTATATCGTAGTTGAAATAAAAAAAATATTATTTTTTATTCAGATTTGGGGAACATTCAAGTATTACGAATTTAAATATTTATTAAACGCCCCCCTTGTCAGCAAAAGTAAGCAAAGCTCTCACTCCCCCCCTCCTATGCTTACGTAAACATTACGTCTTAATTATTATGGGGAATCCCTGAAGTCTGAACATTCTTTTCGCTTTTGAACATAGACAAGTAGGGTTGCCATGTGTGTTCTGAAAAGAGTGATTTGACAAATCAAAACGAACTAAATTTTAATTAATAATTATAAATAAATATTGCTGACGTAATCACCATCCAGACCTCCAGTTCCCCATGTCACCAAAAATAAGAAAAGTAAAGAGCCCCTCTAAATATTTACGTAATACTTAAACGACCCCTTTTAATCCCAGCACGACCGCGGACACGCCAGCGTTACAGTTAACAATAAATTTCTTATTAATTTAATTAATTTCTTAAAAATTTACCTGGAGATGTTCATAAGTAAATGGAGAATAATGTCAATATATAAATAGAAGTCGTAACACAAAATAGCTTTTGATTTAGGATGTGACATAATTTTATGTAATTAAGTATGTTCCACATTTATTACATAATACAGAATGACTCTACGATATAAACACATCTATATAGATAAATAAAATTAAAGTGTCTGTTTGTAATGTCAAAACAGCTTTTTTTCTAAATGCAATATTAAATTTTATAAGAAGAAAATATAAAATAATGATAATCCTTTCTGATAGTTTACTTATAACTGATAGATTTCAAAGGTGTGTAATTATTTTTTTACTATTATATCTCAAAAAAATGCAATTATAATACATCATGTTTCCATTGTGTACATCTGACACATCCTATTGTCTCAAAATATATTGGAGTAAAATTTAAAATGGGTCATATGAATATAGAGTAATAAGTGATGCAATGGTCACTTAGCTTTGTATAATAGTTGTCAATATTACATAATAAGTATATCAAATGAAGGACTTCACAATAAGAAATACAAAATTAGTTTTTTTTAAATGAATAAACCAAAAATGTACAAATATTAGCTAATCTCCTAGAACCCTTTCTTTGAAACAACTAAGTCAAGAACAACAAGAAAATACAAAATATATTATCTTCAGCTTAATTTTATACTAAATATAATGAAAAATGTAATTCTAAAATTATTATTGATGTGAAAAATCTATTGGCGCCCCTTGGCATTGAAACCTCGTGGTGTGACGGCAAATGGTGGTGTGACGCTGTCATGCTATAATGCCCCTTATAAGTTCTACCATTGTTAAAACTCATAAATATTACAATTATAAATATGTTCACTCAATAATCTTACTCTTATATCCCTCTTGTTCTCCAACCTCCATATTTGCAAGCAAATCATAGTACTGATCTATTTTCTCCTGATGATGTGTAAATTCCTCTCTCAAAGCCGCCAGCTCTTCACTAGTGAAACCAGATGCTTCAGCTTTTGCCCATAACATGTTTAATTTTTTATCTTTAAATAAGCTTTTGTTAATATATCCATCCATAGCAGAGTTATAGGCCTGAGAACATAATTTGCTTGTTTATTATGAACAACAACAAAACAAAAAAAATATATCCTGAGTGGATATGATTTTTTACAGGAATAATAGAGAAAATTGAATTATTTCTTCATTTTGTTTTTTTTTATCAATGTTCAACTCAATTCTCATGGAGAAACATCTGGTAAAATAAACTAGGTCATTAAAACAAAAATCTCTAACACCACAAATAAACTTATCTTAATATATGTTGTTAGAATAATTATAACAATTGACAGAGTATTGTATTAATTTGTCAGTTTTAAATAAAAGAATTTATTAGATGAATAATTCAAAATATATATTCTCACAACAGAAGGTATAGAATGTTATTGTTATCAGTTTTGTGTAAAAGCAATGTCAATGACACTATTGCAACTACATATATAAAATTGTATTATCTTAATGTGTTTCAGATATAATAAAATTCTTTGTAACTTAATAATATTCATGTTTAATTCATACTATTTTTAAAGGTGTGTAAAATAATGTATGGATTCATGGGCCCCGGGAGAGGAGTGCTAGGGGGTGCACTTGCACCCCCTAGTCATAAAGGAAAATATATAGAAAAAGTTAAAGAAATAAAATTATATTACTAAAATCCTTGTTTAAATTTATATAAGTTAATCATTTAAATATTAGCTAGTAGTTTAATTTAAAGAATCAAGAAGAGAACTTCCCTAGAAATAATTATGCCGCTGCCCATGTAAGGATTGATATAACACTTACAGGATCTTGTTTTTGCCTGGCCATTGGAGTGTCAGCAAAATGTTCTCGCAATCCATAAGCATTCATAATGTTAGTTAGCTTTCGCCTAAGATCAGCTTCTTTTAATCCTTCTTTGTCCCCTCCTTCACTTTTTACTCTTTTGTATGTAATCTCTTCTTTATCTTGAATCATTAAATCACTGTATAGCGATTTAAGTTTTGTTTCTGTTAAGCGCTACAATTGAATATAGATTTAGTTATAATTATAGACTTACGAGCAATTTTAAGTTTTTGAGAAAATGGCCAAAGTGTATTATCGAAATAATTGTTACCTGTTGAGCTTTCGTCCATAAAATGTTTAATTTATTCATTCTAAATGGTTTCTCCAATGTTCTAAAATCTACCTCGCTTTTCTGTTTCTCGTTAGCTGTACGACTGTACTTATTTTCACACAGTACATGAGTAATTAAAAATGCTAAAATAATCAATCTCAATTGATGTAAAATCATGTTTACTATTTTTTAATAAAATTACCCTTAATTAAATAAATCACATAAACAATTAAAATTTAATCTACAAGTATAGATATACTATTAGGTATTAGATATGTTATTCTTAATATAACCAATAGTTATTAATTATTATATGAGTTATTGAATAGTTTTTACGATATTATTCAAGTGAGATGCTGATTGTATGCAACTTCAATCTTGTAAGCATGGATGACAAATAAAACTTGTAAGATTACGTTTAACATTTGACAAATGACAATTCACAATTGTCTTTTCGGTTTGCCGGCGACGTTTCGTCAAGGCTATGTATTTTATACTTATTTATTTTACTGAACCAAAATGATTTTATTAATTGTTTATATAAATTATTAAAATGTACACATTACATGAATACATATTTCTTAAATATTATTAAAAATATATCTTTTTTATATATCTATGAATTATGGAAACGCTTGGAGTGCAATTATGTATACTCCAAGTGAAAACGGGCATCCGTATTTCCGCCTTTATCAATTTGGCCGGACAACTTTCATTTTCCATTTTTTTATTTAGCGGTTTACAGCATAGATGACAAATAAAAGTTTACAGACAGACAGTTCTATGACATTGTTGAAGTTGTACCTAAGTACTTAAAAAGTTTCTTGGTTGCTAATGGTTTTAAAAATGAAAAAAAAAACTTTTTCGAGCCATTATGTTAGCCGAAAAAATATTTTCTTTTATTTTTAATCAACTGAGTAATGCTTCGTTAATTCATATTACACAATAGTTTGTGTAAAATAAAACTCATAAAACTTTGAAATTAAAGATTTCCTTATTTTTTAAGATCGGGCGAGAAGCTCAACAGAAACACTTAACAAAATACATTATAAATATTGAAAAAATACAATATTTGTATAACTCGCGTCATCTAAAAAGAACGCTGGCTGTCAAGCTGAGCAGAAGCGATTTATCGGTCAAATTGGTGGTAAGAAGCGGGGCGGCGGTGCACGCGCCGCATGCTTGCCGGCGCGCTATTGGTTCGTCAGTTCGAAATACCAGCGCACACAAAAGTTTTTAATTACGAAATGGTTTTATATATAGGAAAGAGGAAAATTGTTTATGACGTATATTGTTTTACAAAGAGAGAGTCTAATAATCATGCAGTTAATAATAAAAAAAATGTATTAAACGTATTAATTTAATTTTTTGTATGTAGATTAAACATTCTGCACAGAATCAAACATATTTTGATGATGAATAAAATTCTATTTAATGATATTCTATCTAATATATTTTTCAATGTCCCTACCAATAACTAATATATGAAGCCGCGAACGAAATTCTATGAAAAATAAAATAATAGACTTAGTACTTTTGTGCGCGAGTATACCCATGCGCAAACATACCCTCTCCACTTTCTTCCAGCGTTCTTTTTAGATGACGCGAGTTATAAAACTCTTCAATAGATTTAATTTTAATTTTCCAATATTAGTTTTGCTTAAACTAAAACACCAGGCATAATAACATGTATTACAACCAAGATTAATGGTGTCTCGTTTCTAAAGAATTTTATAAAATCCTTCCACAAAACAATACCTAAAAAAATTAGGTTGAACGGTTAGAGAAAATAAAGATAAAAAATGGTTAACTTTTACAAAATATTATATAATCTGCAATGGTGTCTTAGTGAAACAATTCAATTTATTCATTTAAAATAAATAAAATTTTAGACCTACATAAATTGGGCATCAAATATATAATGAGATAGAATTAATTTATTTTTACTATTTATAATTATTTTTTTCTATAATGGCATATAGATTTATTATAATGCAAAAATATCTATTTTTGTGCTGGTATCACAAAACTTCACGGTAAACTTCAAATTTTTTATTTGACATTTGAATGGTAAAAAGATTTTATTACACGAAAGTACCTATCGCTGCTCAAAGCCTCAAAGGTATAGGTTCTAAGTAGTGCTCGTTATTGGCCGAGGAGTTGACGCTTGATTGGTATATTTTATTTTGATAAAAATGTATAACAGACAGTACAAATAGTTTTGTTTAAAATTTTTTGTTTTAATCTGAAGCTGTCTATGGAAATACTTTAATGTCAAAGCGAAAAATACAAAACAGTTAATAATGGGAGTCTGTAATCTTCCCGTCTGATTGCATCTCACGATTCATCTGACCATCAAAACTTTCTCTCGATACCTTGCGAGTAAACTGTTACTCAATATTTAGTTGTGTAAAGAGGTCTGCGCGATTTCTGATCATTTATAACGGTAGTTTGTAATTGACGTCAAGCGTGCGAAGATTAGGTTGAGGATATTTGTGTAGTGTAATGAAAAGAGTGTTGTGATGGTGGAACGCGAAGGAATGCGGCGCGGGGGTTGTGGTTGGGGTAGCGGAGTCCTGGGCCAGTGGTCCCTCCGCCGGCTCCTTTTGGATAGCCCTTTGGTCGGCAGAAGACTTGCACATTCAGGTATACTATACATAAATAAATATTTTATTCTTCTATATATACATACATTGCGTTAAGCAATCATTTGTTATTTTTAGATATATTGTTGGAATTGTCATCTTCAACTGGTGTTGTTTTGCATTTATTAGGGCCTAATTTAAATAAGTAATACAAATTTAATAAGAATGAGTGCAAATATATAATTATTACAGTTATGTTGTTTTTGGTTTTAACAGTTTTAATGCCATAACTTATTTAAGTGGCAAAAATCACTTTTCAATGTAGATTTTTTCTTACCGTCACAACCAATTATAAGACATTGAAACAATAAAGTCTCAATCATATAGGTCATTGCCATTGGCTCGGTCAAGCCATAGCCTACATCTGACCTCTATTTATTTGTGTATAAGATTGACATTGTGACTAATGAGTAGTAATTATTTGTATTAAATATAGAATGTACTTTAATAACTTTTTCTCAAGTACATTTCATACATTCAAACCAATTATTTGAAACAAACTATTCATTTATAATATTATTGCCATTGTTTTTAACATTTTATACAACTCAATTTCAAATTTATAATACTTCAAATTTTATAAATGTGTTTGCATAGAAAATATATATCTCTTATTTATGTAGAAGTAGGCACCAGGTGATGTCTCTTAATTTACATGTAAAACCTAAACATTAAGTAATATTTATATCTACAACATCTAGAGTTCGATAATAGAAGTATCAATAATATTTTTTTAAATCTTGCCTCAAACAATAGAAAGTGCCACAAATCTATTTAAACAATGAGCCAGTCATGTGAAGGCATGGTGCGTTAAATGTAATTTGTAATAAAAATCACTCATTGTTCCTTGTACAAAACAATAATGGGAAATTATTTCTTTACTCTGCTGATTAGTTCATGCACATTATTTACATGGAAGTAAAGTGATGATAGCATTTCATCATGTTAATTCTCATAATTAAGTAGTGTGTTATAATAATTTTCTTATAATATTTAAAATAAATACTTAAATCAGTCCTTTTAAGAAATGCAATATAATAAAATTTATCACCATACATAAAAAAGCAATTATATAGTAGTATTTGTTTAAAAGCTAACAGGATGGATAATTTAATTATTAACATTTTGAAAAATGAGATGATAATTTAAGCAAAAAGTACATACCTATATTAATATGATTAACATATTAATAATATAATATTATGTTTAATGATTATAAATATAAAATAGCTTTTGTTCATCCTTTACTTTTATAAGTCCATATATAATTGTTATTTTTAATTGTAGATTATGTAAGTGCCTTAACCCAATTTTTCATAGGTTGTTAAAACATATTTGATTTAAACAACATAATTAACAAGTATGTATAATATCTCAAGGCCGAAGAAGATGTGTACAGTATGCAATGAATTATGAAATTATACTCAAGGTATTATTTGAAGTTTATATGTAGTATAATTGAGGAGGTGGTACAAAAAGAAGTTATGGCAATTTACTAAATTTTAAAGAAGATGCAAAAACTAACAAATTTGTCTTTTAACAGCATATAGTTTGTTATTTTTGGATGAATGATAAAACTTAAATCTCAAACTCGGTAGGCGTAGTGCAATGATTTTTTATATTAAACAGGTACCTAATACTGTAAGTTAGAATTTAGCAAAAAAATTTTTTTTATTATTTACTTAGCAAAAGTTTTCTTTATTTATAGCTAAACTTTATAAATAAGATATATACCTAAATGTTTGCATATGCTAAATTGGAAATCATCACCGCTTGCTTTGAAATTTTGACGCATATATTATATGCTTTTATATGGAGAAGAAGGTAGTTGTGTTATCCATTTTGCTATATTTCGTGGCTAGATAATGCTGCAGTGGATTAATAAATTCTATGGTCTACCTTATTGAATTGATCACCATGAAAATTAATACACTAAATGGTAAACAACACTTGTCTCGTACTTAATATGGTGTAATACGTAATTTTTTAGTGTATAACTATAAATTAAGTGAGCAAAAATTGCTTTTTAAGTCCATAGGGGCTTAATTAATCCCTCAACGACCGCGGACACGCCGGCTTTACAGTTAACAATAGATTTGTTAGAATTTTAATTAATTTCTTAGAAATTTACCTGGAGGTGTTAATAATATGCAAATGCAAAAATTTAAATGAAAAATATTATTACATATTTACCTACAAAGACATTAACAATTTTGATTCCTATATCTATGTATAAATATCAAGGCGTCATAATTTTATTATTGTGCTTGTGCACATAACGTTTACATGTGGACAACTAGTTGTTGCTACGTCTTAATACGACATAAACTTTTAAGCATTTATATCTTGATAAATATGTACAAGGCTAAAGCCTTTACATTCTCTTCTGTTGCCTCTTGTCTTGTCGAATGAACAAATTCCTTGATGGTATAGTATACTTTGTTTATTATCCTACAAGGACACGGATGTTGTAAAAAAATTATATTATATCTTACGAGGTCATTTTATAACCATATAATAATATGTATATTATATTCGGCATATATTCTGCACGAGCGATTTACTTTCGCTTCGCTCGGGTGCGTCCCTAGGTACGTCAGTAGATAAAAAAATATTGTGTGTAATACTTTTTCGTGAAATCGTAAATTTGAATTTTACGTAATTTATAAGGTTCTTCGATTTTCGCTGAAACCCTAAATATTAACGTAATAAACCATGCCGTATATATGTAGCAATAATTCCTTTATCTTTCAGGGAAAGTACTATTACAATCGGTTAAATCATCTTAAAGATTACGCCGGACATGTTTGTCCGGCGTAATCTGTAAGTCGCTAATAGGTACAGTACCTATAAAATTAAAATCTGGAAGGTTTTCTAGTTTCTATTATCAGCGGTTTGGGCTGAGCGTTGATGAGTCAGTCAATCAGTGAGTCGCGACATTGCCTTTTATGTGTATAATTAGCGACTCACCCTCGCTTCGTCCCTAGGTACGTTTTGACGTTCGTCCTAAATGCGAATGTTTGGATGGATGAATGTTTGTTACTGAATCACACATCATCATCATCATCGAACGGATTTGGATGAAATTTGTATATTTTAGAATGGCACATAGGCTACTTTTGTCCAGGAAAAAGGCTCGATTCCCGTGGGAAAGATTTGTTTTTATTTTTCACTAGTGACGAACCCGAGCGAAGCGAGGGTGAGCCGCTAGTATTGTAATAAATCTAACCTTTTATTAACCTTTTTATTTCGTAACTTTTTCAACATAACAAAAGTGCCTGTTTTGTTAACGCTGAGAACAAAGATTGAATACAAATTTTGACTTGCGATTATTTGAATTTTCACTTTCATTTTAGAATTACGTTAGACGTTATAAACTCAATATGTAAAAGTTTCTAATTGAACCTTAACATTATATTAGCTATGCACGATAAAAGGCACTATGACGTAGGTAGAGCCGGATGTAGGGTAAGGCAACTCGGGCTGCAGCCACAGGGCCCCCATGTGTGCAGGGTCCCCACAATAGAAATCTAGGTGTTCTAAATTCGTTTTAATGAGAAATAAATGAAATCTTTTGCAGTTTCGTGGAGGTGAATTAAAAAAAAAAGACAATATAAAAGAACTTCATTATTTCCTTTGCAACATTATTATGTAGAAACCTTCACTCCTCAATTGACTCCAAAGCCTCTCTACTCGTTTAAATCCAACACCGGTCGCAGTAATGTTAAGAAGCCATTTCCATATTATGGGAAGAGCGCTTCCGCTTTAGCCTTCCCAGGTTTAAAAGTGATCAGGTACGCCACGGCAAGTTCCTAATATCTCGTTTATGCACTTAAATAATTTTATATCAATTTTTGCAATGAATCGGCGGCATATATTAACTTGTTTTTAGATTATGTTATTTTACTTTTCATTAGTGAGAGTCTACGGATAAATATTACTTATTCGTAGGTGAGAGTCACATAATCATGAGTCAGACTCAGAAATCAATTTGGTAACGTATAGATGTACATCATTTTGTTGGTAAAATTTGCTTTTTATATTAAGATTTTGGTTAATGTTTAACACATCATTTCTTAACTACGTGTCTTTGGGTAATTTATTCCAACTATATGGTTAATTTATTTCAAACATTTATATTATTTTATTAAATGGCTATATGACTGAAAGATTTTTTTTTAGAGATAATTTTACCTTTGTGTCCTGTTAAGTTTTTGTTATTTTTTTCTATATTACTTTTAAAGTGCAATAAAATATAATAATAATAATAATTTAGCTTTTTTAACGTCCCTCTAATGTGAGGAGTATAGGCCATACTCCACCACGTTAAACCAAGTAAGAGTCGGTGGACTTTATATGTCCTATGTAAAATTGCTAGATTATCTCAAACATGGGGTCTCGGACACCTCTCAGGTTTTCTGACGATATTATCCTTCACCGTATGACTAGTGGTAATTATTTTAAAAAAGTAATTAAATTATATTTTTCGATTAATATTTTTTCTATTAAAGATGGAGAGATTACGATTCTTCTTTTTAACAGAATGGAAAAGCCAAACAATAAAATTCTGTTTATTATTTTGAACGTATATTCTTCTGTGAATCACTTATATTTTCCCACGCATTTTATAATTTACAAATAATATTTTTATGTATTGCCACAACCATATTATTTCATAAGTAAATGCACTAACGTAAATTAAGCAACGTAGCATTTCGCTTGAAAGCCATTGTGCAAGCCTCGGTTTCGTTTTTAAACTCGTGGCGGGATGCTGGGTGAAAGTGACGTGCACAACGGCGCTCATCTTAACTAGGTTACCTTAATTTGTTTAAAAAAAATAACGAACTCTTATTGTCGAGATGACGTTTTGTTCACAGTTAATAGTCAGCCCTACTTCTTTTTATGGCCGCTAAAATATCACATTTTTAAAGCTACGTTTAAAAAAATATCTGAAAATATAATAATACCTATAGCTTATTCACTAACAATACTGGAAAAATA